AAAGCCACTTGATTTGCAAATTGGTTTCAGTTGAGCTTCCAGAGACAGAAGTCAAACCATGAAAACATCCCTTCAACATCAAATGTCTGAGAAAAAGAAATGCACAAAGAAACATTTGATAAAAGAAATGGAGAGAACTCTGACTTGTAAGAAGCCCCTTTGGGTATTAGTGCAGTGAGAGACAAGATAATAGGGAAAATAGTGTAATTCATTTACCAGAATAATTTCCATTTGGACTTGGCCTATCAAACTATGTCTGAGAAAATAGGTTACTGCAAAGTAGAAGGTGAAAAACAAATGAATCAAGGAATCGCAAGTAGTACAAAACTTAACTATAGTAAGAGAGAATATTTCCTTACATATCTAGAGATATTACATCTTTTTAGATGGAACCCAATGGGTAGGACACTGCTTTTTATAATACCTCTCTGGATTAACAGATAAGAAGTCAGTGGACCTCACACAGGAGCAGATGCAGAAAGATGCCAGAGCCCAGAGAAATGGGATTGAATGAAGAAGCTGAAGAGTTAGAAAACAGGGTTGAGACAGAAAAGAGTATTCTCTACAAACTGTTGGGAAAGAAAGATGAATACCATGAAGAAGGAAAGAAAAGGAAAAAAAAGTATGTGATATAAACTAAAGCCAGTGTAAAGAGAAGCGTAAGCAGTTTTAGTTGGCCAAGGACAACACAGGCTAGACACCAGAAACATTAACAGTTTTGAAACAGATGATGAATTACTGAAGTCTTCCAACGGGTGATAAAGTTCATGCTTTGAGAAAGAATTCAAAGCTGCTTTTCTCACTTGAAGAACTGCTGGTTCTTGTGATGTAATGCTATCCAGTTCTGCCCAAAGAAAAATATACTTCTGCCTTTAATTCACCCCTGGACAAAGATGATTACCAAGCTACACTCAAGGAAAAAATAATAAAACTCTCAAATATGACAATAATGAAAATCCCTACTGACCTTTGGAAATCAATTTGGAATTCAAGGATTTGTTCACACTTCACCAAGTACCAAGTTGTTACTGTGGGTCTGAACAGTTACAAATCTTCATTTCTGCAGCTTCTACTCAATCTTAGTTTACTACATTTCTGGCTTGGCTGCTAATGCTTACAGGCCCTTAGGGAAAAGTGGATCAGATTAAAAAGTTAAAGCGGATACCTGAGCTGAAACAAAGCAAGAACTACACTGCTTGCTTATCACTTAGAACTTAGCGTCTCCTACAATCATCTTCCAAATAAGGCAATAGTTAACGATGTAGAAGATATAGAAACCACCCAGAAAAATCCAAGATCTACAAAAGCGCCACGGTAATGCCTTCTGCCACCTAGGACCAGTCAGAAGAGAACAGCCTTACCGGATCCTCAGAGGATCAAGTCAGTACAAATTCTTAAGGACCAAGGGGTGAAACAGACCCAAGGGTTAACAGACTCAGCATACCAATGTTCGTTCCCCCTCCAGGAACGCCAACAGTAAAAAGGGCTTTACTGACAAAAAACAATACCTCAGATAAAAACTGAGGAGCTCTAGGGCAGCATTTGGTACCAATAGCAGAAATGTATTCAATGCGATCACTACATTTCAGCAGTCAGTAGTCTGGCAGTTGTACTTTTATATATTAGACAAATCCATTAATTGTAGCCTGGCCTCATTAGACTAGAAACGTCACTAGTGCAATTAACTGAATATGAACAAATTGTAGGTAATAAACAGAAATAATGGCTAAATATGATATTCACCAGTATTACCTTAAAAATACTCACCAATTTCTTCCCGAGGTTATTTTGTCGTTGTTCCTATTGCCAGATCTGATGGCATGTTCTCTGTGTATTCCATTAATGTTAATAAATGCAAATGAAAGGTGGGACCAAACAGCTACAGCTGCAATACATCATCTGCCAAACTCATTTTTTTTTGTGTGTGTGAATAATTATGTACTTAAGGTAACAAAATAAATATTTCTGAGCCTCATTTCATCTTAGATCTTTCATCAATTTCTCTTTTCTGTATTTTCAGAAAAGCTGTAAAAGATTACTTTGAAGCTTCTTTTCGGTCGACATTTCTAGCAGAATTAAGGCTAAAGGAGCTGCTGAGATCAGAGCATCACATCTGCATTAGGTAAGAAAATACTTTCCCTGTCAGGCAGCCTCCAGTGCTACACCCTCCACCTTTCCCTGCCCCGTGGCAGCGCACACTGTAGCTGTTTCTCAGGTATCTTGGTGTTGAGTCAATCCGTAACATCCAGCATCAGTGATTCAGTCTAGGCATCATCCTTTGTCTAAAACTATTCATGATGAATGAAGGTGAATTAGTCTTCCACTGGATACGGACACACCTTCCAGGTAGCTTGAGCATCACTCTCCAGACAGTCATCTGCTCCAGGAAACAACATAATCTGCACAAAACCTAAAACAACCTGCTTTCTATAGAATTTTTCCTGTGCCTACACTGTAACAACTCACCAAGTCACACCAATCTGGTTTCAAACCAGGCCACTAGCAGCTGAACCCTGGTTTGTGCAGACATCTATATTGCAGAAAGGCTGTGGTAGCATTGCTCTGCTTGCTCCCTTAGTTTTCCAGCAGCCCAGCTGCAGGACTTCAGCCTGCCAGGATTCACAGCGATGCCGCTAATCACAAAATGCCACACAGGCAGAAGTCACCTGCTCTGAGAGCGTGGTTTGGCTCTTGCAGCAAATAAAGTCTCTGACGGCAGCTCAAGCTGCCCCACTCAGTCAACCAGAAAGGATCTCACCTTTAGGATAACACAGGCAAACAGCAACGATGATAAGCAACAGTCAGGAGAGGAAATAAATTCAGTGGCACAAAAGGGCTGCCTGCTCCAGCCTGTGGAGGAGTATCATCTGCAGCCACTGCAGTCTGCCCTGCCCCAGCTCTCCCATCCTGCTGCTCCAGCATGGGGCTCTCTTCCTGCTGGAGGAAACTGCCTCAATTTTGCACTAAAATTTCAACCAGACAAAAGACTCCCTCTTCCCATCTCACTGCTGTGTTTTCCTCCCCCAAAACATGGCTCTCACCCTGTCTCAAGTTACTTTGTGCTTTCAGGAAGTGAGGCCCCAGCTGAGGAGACAGGCAAGTCCCAAAAGGGCTGCAGGCCACGCTTCAGTGTTAGTCTTGCTCTGCACATTTTTACTCATTCATTCCTGACAAACAAATCTGCATAGTGCCTCTTCTTGTTTACTGGGGAAAACCCTTACCAGGCAAGGCACAGACACTGCTCACTTTGGAATACGGGGGACCTAAAATGGACTATTTCCTTTTTCTCAGACTTCAAGTAAAATAAACATCTGAATGAATTCACTGCGATGTACCATCCCCCAGCTCCACCAATTCCAAGCCCCGCCGCCCAAATGGCACACAGTTTCTGCTTTAGCAAGTGGCTCACGGTTACTATCCATTGTGTAACCCATGTAAGTCCCTTCTCATGCTGTGCATCATTATAAACAAAATCACAAGGTTGAAAATACTGACTGTACATTCCTTGTGAGCGTATCCATGGATGTGTAGATGTGCTGCAACCAACGTCCCCTCCTTGGTTTAAGGACATATTTCCTCCTTTACCCCCAGCTCCAACAAAAACCAAGGGGTCATTGGCTTGATTTCATCGCTAAGGTTTTCAGCTGTTTAGTGATACAATACAAGCAAGGCTCTCTTGTATCAGAGAAGATAATTACAAGTTTATCTCTGTGGGAAGATACTTTAAGGATATGCTCAAATTGTTTGTTTCTTGTCATTTTGTAACATACAACATGAATGATCCAATTGCTACTTTATGTTTAAGGTAATATACTCATTAAAAGCACTTCAACTTGCTTGAGTAGCACTTGGATAAAACAAGGCATGGGGAGACCATCTGAAGATGTCTAAATCTTAAACTCTTAAGCTGAAAGCTAACACCCCATCTCCCCATCAGCACATGCATTTTACTGGCATGCAGTGGCAACCAGCTAATTCTGCTTTGATGCTGCTGTGTGCACAGGTCTGTTTTTCAGTATGTTGTGTTGGTCTGAGAGTCTTTTTGAGACCAGTATCATTACCTCCAACTGCTCATTGCTATTACATGTGCAAGCGATTTCTGTTCTTAATTTTCAAATCTGGTGCCTACTACCCAGCCTCGCTAAGAAGGGACCAGAAATGAAGGGCAATGTTCACCATCTGCTTCTGCCCTTGCAGGAATGTAACCAGATGACCCTCTGTCAAGAAGACCAAAAAACAGTAAATCAGGGAAGAAAACTGATATACAAACTTTTGTATAACATCAAAAAAATAAAATGCAAGCAACTAACAAAATGAACTACTACTCTAAAAATATTTGCTGAAACACAGAGGTGGGAAAGGGGCGGGGGGGGGGGGGAGTGAAAGGGGGAGTTCAGGCTGGCATTCACTCCGTTCCTCCTTTTCACTCTCTCCTTCTCCCTAGACACGTTCATGACAAAACACACACAATGCAGTCAGCAGGATCCTTTCACTTGTGCCCTGCACTAGACTAAGGAAAAATTATCTGGGAATCTGGTATAGATAGTATTTCTAAGTAGGACATCATTAAAGTATTTAAACAATAGGGCAAAATAAAGCTGACACGTCTGTGAGTAGTGGGAGTGTAATTGGTACAGCACTGCAAGGACTAGAGGAAAAACTCTACCAATCTAACTTCATACCCAGCACACACACACAAAAAGACCAACAATAAACAAATGGACAGTGCCCTGATAAGATAATGAGTATAATAATGAGTATATTGAGTATAATGAGTATATAATTATATATTATAATATATAATTATTATGCCCTGATAAGATAATGAGTAACAATAGCTTAAAAAAAATACTGTGCTCATTATTAACATTACTAGTAATACTATAGTGAAAAATACTTTACTGTAATTGCTTTGCAGTGCAATACATCCAGTAAGTCAGAGTAGACAGAAACATAGGTTTGTTGGGAAAACACTGGCAGTTCCAATAGCCAAATAAAGGTATTATTTATGCTATTTTTATTGTTATACTACATGGCAACATACAAATTCCAGTTGAATTTCTATTTGAACCATTTCTGTTTTCTTAAAGTGCACTGCCTGTGCCTACCTACGCTTTTCACAACCAGTGGCCATAAGACTCAGTTACTAAAAATTATATTTCTAAATATAAGCTGTACAAAACAAATGCACTCCAGATTTAAAAATCTGACCTGGGTACACAAAGATTACAGAAAAGACAAAACACATTTTGTGCACGTTCCTGATAAAGTTTTCAGAGAAAGCTTACTGTTACATAAATCCAAAGAGATACTCACACAGTACGTCACTCAGCAGAAAGATGGGCTGAAAGCCATTCTCTCTCCCAGAGCAGTTATTCCAGCATGAATATTGAAAAGATGTTATGTCCATGAACCAGGCTTTATAAAGCTACATTTTGAAATGACTCAATTGTAAATGCTGGATCTGTGGAAACCTGCGGTCAGCAGCACAAGTCCAACTAACTTTGGCATTCACCCTTCGGGGCTGCACAGGCTGAGTAGGACATAGATTAAACAGAACTACAATTGGGAAGTGACTCTGGAAGTGCCCATGTGCTACAGCTACAATACATTATCTGTCCCTTATCTCCCCAGCAATCCCCAGCTCTCCAAAAAGCTTTGAGAAAAATTCAGGTATTAGTCTTTTTGCCACAGTTTCTGTGTTAACTCTGAATCAATGCAATTCTACCTTTATTACCAGGGCAAGCAAAGGAGCAGTATGAGAGTCCACTCCACTCTAGAACACTTTGCATGCAGCTGGATCACAGGAACTTTCTTCTCAGCTTTATTCATGGGCATCCATTGGCCTGAGAATCACTCTTTAAGGGTTCATGTCATCAATTTAATCATTTTAGAGAAATACAAAGGGGGAAAAAAAAAATATATCAATAAACTGACATCAGAACCTATTACGAATCTGGTGTAGCAGTGCTTTCTGTAGAGAACAAGGCACTCCTAGATCTGCTACTTCACAAAGCACTTCTGTGATGATTTCAAAACTACAAATAAATTGTATGTTTCAACAATATGAGAGCTAAGATTTGCCTCTTTGGCTCTTTGACCAGCCAGCAACTGTCACCCAGTGATACTCAGCAGTGCAAAGCCTGTGAGGGGTGAAGTGTGGACATTAAATGCAAAAACACTGTTCAGAATTGAAACAGGTAAGGAGATTGCCTCTCCAAATCCCACCAATGATACTCCATTACATTTCTCTAAGAACTACTTATGTTCCTGGGAATGTTACCCAGAGGCTTTAGGTAACGACCAGCACGGGTGCTACGTATATACAGAACCTTATGTCACTTGGTGAGGTTACTTTAACACACTGTGAAGTTGTCCTTCCTTAGATTGTTCTTCAGGAGACCGGTCAAGCTCCGTGGAGGCTTTTTTCCCCTTTATTCTTTAACCTTTCATTTTCCTTCCAACATAAATGCAAACTGTACATAACACTGAAACACTGTTACATCGAGCAATATAGAACAAGATTACACTCATTCGAGTACTGTTTTTTAAATACTGTAGAAAATCTGTGTCACTAGCAATTACCTCACAAAATGATGCCTGTTTGAGGTGACAGCTGCTTTTATATCAGCCATGTAAGGAAGAAACAAAAAAACAGCAAGAGATTTCAACAGAAATTTCACAGTGCATCTGAAGTTCTTGTACTCTAAAAATCAATCTCTTGCACGTTCACATGTTCTACTGAAAATTCATGAAAAAAAGTATTTCCAGCTTGATCCTTTCCTCAATATTTTAAATGGTGCTCAATGCTAATGATAGATACTGTCAGTCTGTACAAAGGACAAGGTGAAAAATGAGTACAAAAGAATTTGTCTTCATTATATTTGCATACCAGCTGATGCTTCTCATAAGATTAATTTACAACTATCTTCACTCTTAGATGTTATCTCAATTCATAAAACATGCATTTTCTGTGTACTTGTATGGAATAATTAGTGTTTTTATATCAACTCCCACTTTAGTTTAAACAGTTAATGTTTACTCAACTGAAATGAGGGAGGGGGAAGATTATGCTTGTTATCATAACAGAAAAGAGATTTCACTCGTCTGACTCCAGAAGAGCCAAGAAAGGTAAGTGACAAAAGCACCAGCTTTGATTTTTTGAACGTAAATTCAGGCATTTTAATGTGATTCTCAGAAAAGCCACTTGAGCTTACTCGAGCTTTTATGTAAGTAATTCATAAACATTATGGCACTTAGACTCTCCTGAACAGGTATTTAGCTACCTAGGCCACCCAGGCTTTAAAAAATATATATATATAAAATTAACCAATTCTGTAATAAAACACTCCTGCCCAACCTTGAAAATCCTGAAGTTTCCTGGAAGTGGAACCAAATTCCAATTGTTCATGTTTCATATCTCTTGAGTAGATTGCCTTCGACAAATGTCAAGTTACATTTTAAGTTTCGGCATCTGATTACTTACAAACATCAGGGAAAGGCAATCTTACCCACTTGCAACAAAAACTGTGTCCTGCTCCTTAGGAATTATAACATGGCATAGATACTTATGTTTCCTTATTATTTTGCTGGACTAGAGCATTTGAAGTAATTACACATACTAGGAAAGAAGTCCAAATTTAATTAGAGTTGGCTTACAATGGTAGCATTTTCTCCATGTAAGGCATTATTCTGACACTTACTGGCCTGGCACCCAACCATACATATTAATACACCACATTTGTTGTTAAAAAGGAGCATATATATTAATCCAAAGGTAAGAACAATTAAAGAAACACAAACGACAAACATTAAAACAGGCCTGTGTTTTCATATAAATCTCACAGCCCCACCAGTATTTTGGTAGGTTTCTATTGCTTTCTTAACTCATACTTAACTGAACTACTGTATATCATGAAGCTTGAATACAAGCAGCTTTTGGGAAGTTACATTTGCAAAGGGAAAAGAAAATCGTGACAAGTAAAAAAAAAAAAAAATCCAAGAAGCTCTTTAAAAAAAACCAAAAAACTTTACTGGCAAAATGAAGCAGCATGCTATTTTGTGATTGATATTTGAATTTAAAAAGACTAATTAGGCTGAAATAAAAATAAAAACCTAAAAATGGCATTCTATAAATAATGAAAATTTTGATTTCACTGGACTTTTATGAAAAACATTTGGTAATTAAATACTTGCTACTATGCATTACGGTGATGAACTTTATTAGGGCTAAAACTGTAACAAAGCTCATCCTAAAATATTTTGCAATGCAAAATTATTTTCACTCAAGGAGTGTCTCAAATTGAATGCTAAGAATTACAAGCAATCTCCAGAAGCAGACATCCACTTTCATAAAACTTTATACATCTTTTTGGAACTAAGATATTTATACTACTAAAATCAAACATGCATCACTTCCCATACATTCTGGTATCATGATTTTATATTACATTATGTAACACCATTCTTCTAAACAGCAGCAGTTTTATCATACACTTGCTCCATTTTCTTTGGATTTCTGATCTTTATCTTCGCTTTTCACAGTATCCTTTAAAAGAAAAAAAAGGGAGAAGACAACGTGAGTTCTGGAAGTAAAACTTGTCACGTGAACTGTAAAGCAGTGCAAGACAGATACAGTTTGGTTTCAACTTAAGAAGAACTTGTAATTCTGTATATTACTAAGTTTACTTATAACCAATTCAAGTTTCTCATATCTTCCTGAAAAATGGAGGGAACAAATTAAATCTGACTGACCTACCTATAAAGAAAGCACACAGCCATCCCCAGAAGCTTTGCTTTATTTTTATTTTTTTCTTTCTAATGAATAAACAAAAACAGTTTTGACCAAACCCATTAAGTTATGGTAACATGTAGCTCTAACACGGAATACCTGATTTGGCCTGAAAGCTAAGCTCTTAGCTCTGAAGTACTGGGCAGGATGACACCAAGGCCATTGAACTGTACCAACTGTACAGAATTACATAGCACTTTAGTAGCCAGTTCTGGCAGAGCAATGGATCTACTATGGGCACACGGTGAGGTGCAGCACTGTGTAACAATACTGATGGTAGTTTGCTGCAAGTTACAGCCATTTTAATAAGCTACAGTGCCTTATCTGATGCACTACTTGTATCCTACGAGGAGACAAACGTCAAACATTTGGCAAGTTTCTGTACTGACAGAAGCAGTAGCTAGGCACCCTCACAGTACCAGTTTACCACTGAGCTGCCCTCAGCAGCTACAGCTGTTCAGCCTTACTTATAGGGTCTCCACAGCATTTCCAGGGAATATGATGCAAGTAACTTTCCATATAGGATGGAGATGCTCTGGAGCATCAAAATACCTACATTCTGCCTTGAAAAATTACTCTTAACTTATCAAATGAAACAGCAGATTATTGGAGAAAGACAAGATCAGATCATGAAAACATTATGATTGTTTGAAACTTATAAAATTTCTCATATTTATGTCAGGAGAAATTTGTGTTCCCATTTTAGAAACCATTTTATACATTGCACTTGTTTTCTTTAAAAAAAAAAAATCATTATCTCTGAGCCTCTAATATACACTGAGACACCACTGCTCTGGATTCACGTGAATTTTCAATTTTATTTTAAAGGGTTTGTTTTGAAGGTTATATTTTCTTTTCTTTTCAACCACATAATTTTAACCATCAAAAATGAAAGTAAAAAAATTCAAACCTGCTTAAGCACACTCTGCATTTCATCCATAACAGTAGCTAAGTTTTTGATTGTCTTATTCAGCTGACTCTCAAATTGCAAATTTTTCTCATCTGAGATCTTCAAGTTCTCTTGCAGCTGACTAAGGTCCTTTTTGACTTCTTTGAGCTCCGCAGTCAGACTTTTGTTAGAATTCTCCAGCTGCAGTATGGTCTTTTCATCCTCATCTTAAAAAAAGAAAGTAGTCAGTTACTTCCAACACCACGTTTTGCACTCTAATATTCCATTTACAAGCCAACACCTAAATATTTTTTGAAAGAAACCTTGAAGACTGCATTGGATTACCATTTATCACATTGAATTCTAACTACACTTCAGAGCCTTATGGCAAAGCATGGCAACAAACTGTACTTCAGCTATTACTGGTGTGCAAGTACAAAGGACTTGGAACTCAGAAAATATGAGAGTTAATAATATACAAAGATCTAAGAAATCTAGATCACAAATTAGTTGATCTACTAAAAAAATTCATATCTTGCATTCATCTAAGTACCATCTTCAAAGCAATGTCACACCTGTTTTTTCTTCCAGCAGCTGAAGCTTTTGTTCTATCTCTGCCCGAACTCTTTCACTCTTTTCCAGCTTCTGTAAAAGGCTCCCAACATCCACCATAGCTCCATTGTATACAATAAGGCCAACATTTTCTTCTACAGCTTTTGATTCTTGCTTTACTGTAGGTGATGGCAACAGCAATCTGTTTCCTAAATTAGATTAAGATTAATAAATAATCCTTGGCATTTTTTGGTCACAGTTCCAGTGATCAACCTCCAACTTCCCACATCAGTTTAAAAGCACCGTTCCATACTAACTTCAAGAGTCACGCCTTTAACATTACAGACAAGTTTTTATGATGTGGTCTCTTCCCACATGGAGAAAAAGAATAAACTTTATTTCAAGCCATTCTTCTTTTCCTCCTTGCAGTAATCTGTCTTAAAAGCAAACAAAATAACCAGAAAACAACACACTCTGTTCTACTACCTACAGTACTGATCCCCCTGACTGCAGACCTACTGTGAACGAGTTACATGTTGTTAATCAACATCCCACTTTTAACTTCTATCCCTCCTTCCTGTTCCAGGACCCTGAGACTCATCCAGTAAACACAATGAGGCCTGAGGGAAGCCAGAAATACAGAAATTTAGGCACTGCTAAACTGCCAAGATTTACTTTTCCAAGATCTGCAGACCTGAATTAGTTACCATAAGGAAGCAAGCAACTCACAACTCTCAAAACATTCACACAGGAACAATCAGTTTCAGAAATAAAAAAGCATTACCTAACATATCTTCTTGTAGTTCTTCTGATTCTTCTTGGTTTTCCTCATCTTTAGAAGTATCTGTTAGTCTTCTGTAAAAGCAGGACTCTCTAAGTACTACCTTATTAAGTAGCTTCTTGACCTAAAACACAGGAAAGAAGTATGGGATTAATACACAAATTAAGCTACTTAAACAAGAGTGTTTTAACTTGAAAAACTTAACTAAAGAAATTGCACAACTTTTCGAATTTTAACATACTGGGGTTTGAAATGAAAACAAGCTAGGAAATGAAGATGCAAAACCTGAGCACGAGACAGGTGTAGTCCAAGAGTGTACAGTATCTCCTCCATGTCCTTCTCCAGAAGATACCCACAGTGACTTTGGTCAAAATAAACAAAAGCCATCAGAAGATCCCTATTAACAGTTACCATCTGTGTCTTGTCTTTCTCCTGCAGAAAATTCATATTGGGATCATTAGGAAGTCAAAAATACCATGTTCACATCCTATACCAAAAAATAAGTGCATGTTTCAGATAACTGATGTTTACCCAGTTCATTATACTATGTTCCTTTTATTGTTTCCTAGAGAAGAGGAATTAATACAGCTAATATTTACCTACTGAACTCAAATACAATATAAGCAAGCTATTTAGGAAGACTACTCTTTTAATTATTTAGAAGACTTGCAGCACAATGAACAGAAACACCTGGCAGCCAGCTACATTTTGTCCAGACTAATATGTCATGCATATGACATTCATTTTCAAAGTTTGAAAAAACAGTAAAAAAAAATCCTTGTTTCCCCAGCCAAAGATTTCATTGAAGAGCCATTTCCAAAACGAAGTCCCTGTAAGCGCATAATGAATGAACATTCACAGCTCTCACAGGTAAAACAGTTCTACCATCTGTTCTTCCCCCCTTATTTCTGTTCTTTATCTCCTAATTTCCATTGGGGAAAATAAAGGGGTTGGACACTTTATTTTAGCATTTATAAGGAAAACTCACGTATAACAAATCTAACCTATGCTATTCCTTAACCTTAAACTATGGAGGCAAGATTAAAAAAGCCACTTTTTTTTTTTAAATGTAAGAATGCAGCAACAGAAAACCACAAATAATCACCTGACTCTCACATGTTCAGACAAATCAGTTCAAATTTATACAAGATTCTTTTCCCCAAGAACTTTTATCCAACAATCTTCAATATATAGATTAAAGCATCTTGTAGGCACCTTACCCCAAGCTGTCACACCTCTTTACAAGTTCACTTTAGAAGTGATGAAGTAATCAAGAGTGTAAATAGAATGAAAACAAAGGTAAACTCTGATTATAACATCTTTATACAAGATTGATTACATGAAGTTAAGAAAGATGTTAATTACTTTATCTTTAGATGACCTCTCTTTACAATGCTTATTTCCCTCTCTTCTGTCCTCTCGTTTATTCATTTCTTCTTCTTCCCGGTCTATAAGACAGAAAGAAAATTCAACATTCCCACAGTAAATGATTCAATAAACATAATCTCAAAAATACATTTCATTAAAAAACTCACATAAGCCCTCAAACATCTGAAAACATTATATTTCCCCCCCAAAATGAAAAACAAATGACATTTATTAGGGAGAACTCATTGTGGCCTTCCAGTACTTGAAGGGAACTTACAAGCAGGATGGAGAGCAACTTCTTACACGGTCTAAAAGTGACAGGACAAGAGTGAATGGCTTTAAACTAAAGGATGGCAAGTTTATGTTAAATGTCAGGAAGAGATTCTTTACTCAGCGGGTGATGAGGTGTTGGCACTGCTGCCCAGTGCTGTGGGTACATCACCCCTGGAGGTACACAGTGCCATGCATGGGGCCCTGGGCAGCCTGCCAGCCCACAGCAGGAGTTGGGGCTCAATTATCTTTAAGGTGCCTTCCAACCCAAGGCATTTTATGACATGATTAAATCACTCCTCGTAGATGTTGTCCTTATCTTAACCCTATTTTAACCTCAAACATTTGACTATTTTATCCTGTAGATTCTTACTTATCACACACACAGGATAGAAGAGCTGAAATAAATGCTAACCAGACCAAAATCAGTTGTGCCAACATCACTATCTGTTTAAGTGGTGTGCAGAAAATTACTTCTTCCTAAAGAGGTTTGCCAAAGTCTACATTCAGCTATGGTTATTCCTATTAGGTATAAAAAAAAAAAAAAAAAAAAAAAAAAAAAAGTAAATCAGTATTGTTTACTCTTCAGTATTTTAGATTACATCATAAAAACAGTAACAACTGTGTATTAAAAACATGTTTGTACTCATGACTGACTGAAGTATGACTGGTGTACTTGATCCTGAACTTGAGAGTCTCAATGTTACTGACTGCACTGCTTGCTAGATATGAAGCACCAAATGCAGTGGCTCTGTTTATTTGTTTTTAAAAGGTAAGACAGCACTGTGAAACTGAATCTAAAAGAAAGAGGAATGTGACAGCTACAGGGACGTATCAGGGCATGCAGCTCTGTACCTCGCAAGTTTTTTTTGTCACAGAATCACATGGCAGATTTCTTTATGAAACTGCTCACCTTTCTTGTGAGGAGAACTTTGAAAAACCTACATATGCAAGCATTTTTCTAATTTTGCCAATACGTTTCTAGCAACTACAAGCTTTCTCCTGCACCTCCATGGGAAGTTGGATCAGGTCTCACCAACTCTCACTGAGAATGGCACAAGGGCAGATAATGGGAAGTTGCAGTGCTTGTACAGAAGATTCCAGGGCATGTGCTCAGGGGTCAGACTACAAGCAATGAGGAGTCATTTTGGAAAAATAAGAGATATAAGAGATCCAGGTTGGTGCAATATTTTTTGCTAAAAAAATATAACTGAAAACACTCGCTAGAAAACACTGAGACTGCAATATGTAAGCAAGTTCAAACCTACGTCTCTGGTGAAAACCCTGTTTTGGCACCTTCCTCCACCTGAAAAGTACAAACCAAAAAGCACACAGCATGCCTTACATCTTCCTGAATCTCTGAGGTGGGAAAGAGGGCTACCTGCTGCTCGTGCAGACAGAAACATTCCCCAGTCCTTTTTCCCACTTCTTCAGGCAAGCCTAACTCCACTCAAAAAGAAATCAACTCCTTGCAGGTTCATAAAACACGTCCCACACTACATTCCAGTCTAATAAAAACAGGATGACATTTTACAGCTGATGAATATGAAGTTATGCACTTCAAAGTGGCTTGGTTTTTCAGAGGTGCTGAATACTCACATCTCCTACTGACTTCAATGGGAGTTGCGAGTGGTCTGCATTCTGAAAAAAATAAAACCACTTCTATATGCACGCCTTACCACATACCACAGCTACAGATTTATTTAAGCTATGTTAATAAAACGTTAGCAGAAGGGCTCATGTTAAGCAGCACTGGTCAGAATTACTGAAATAGAATTAGTGCAATAATGCACTTCCAGATTTCTAGTTTCAGTGCATTTTCCATCTGGAAAGAAAATCCAGAAGCCAAAAAATTCCCAAATACCTTCGTCTTCATCTTCAGCTTCTTCCGCCTCCATTGGATCATATTCTTCTTGATTATTGTCATCTTCAGTTTCTTCTTCATCTTTGGAATCATCTTTCCTTTTCTCTTCCTTCTGTAACAGAAGTTCCTAAAAATTAATCCCGTCAGAACTGAAAAACAGCAAAGTTTAAAACATCACCCTAGCACTCATTCTAAATTTAAGTATGCTTATGTTTAGTCACTTAAAAGCACAGACACTCAAATCTAAGTGGTAAAAGTAAATGAGGGGAGAGAGGAGAGATGTTTAAAATAATCCTCAGATAAATCTGTAAAACTTCGGAATGACTGAATGAAACTTATTTAAACAGATTAACGGGTCAGATCAATGAACTAACACTATAGAAACTCAGTTCGAGAACGCAACAACAAAATGAAAATCAAGTAACAGTTTAATATGGAACCAGACAGGATAGTACTTCAAATATAAGCTAATACAGACCTTCTTTTCATCTTTATCTTCTTTTTTATCTTTATCATCTCCAGATTTTCTTCTTTTAGGTTTTGGTTCATCATTTTCTTCTTCTTTTTCTTCCTTTTTTTCTTTTCGTTCATCTTTTTTGCTTTTTTTGTCTTTTTTGTCCTCCCTCTCTGGGAGGGAAATCAGTGCTTTATAAATTCTGACACCAAAATCCCTCTGAAGCATTTCATTGAAGAGTTCTGCAAACAATGAAACCTGCACATAAAGAATGAAAATTGACAAAGTTTCAATGCGCATATTAAATATTTTTACACTTCTGATTAAAAAAGTAACGAGGTGCTATCTTAATTTTCACCATGTCAGAGTTTCATGCATTTGATACTTCTTACCATCTGTTTTGCACATGCAAACCTTAAAGAACTTTATATTTCTCTCCTGTATCACAGTAGTTTAGGACCTACACTAGCTGTACAAATTATAATCTCTGTTCCTTCCGGATATTACACCTGATTACACTGCTATTATAAACCTGCTGCCAAACACTGGATTGCTTTTTCTAGGTCTTACAAAACAAAATTAATTTTACATTAAGCTTTACTTTATCATGAATTTAAGAAAACCACGATTACCACAGAATTAAAAAGAATAAATAACTATAAACACATGTGCACTTGCTAGGCAGCATTTCTTTCCTTCAACATAACATCACAATGCATAGCTCAATAAAAAGTTGCTTTAATATACTAGCACAGCTAAATTACCTCAAAGGAATGTTCTTTATTATCCTCCAACCTATAGTCCAGAAGAACACTGAGTGACATTATACTACAGTCAAACTTCCCACTCTTTGCTGCCCAGTTAGGATGCACAATGATGGCTGGCTCATCAGGCAAGATGTACCGTCTCTCTCGTCGCTGACGTTCCATTTCTTCCTGACGTTTTCTTTCCTCTTCCTGAAGAGGCAAAGAATAACACAAAGCATATTCCCAAAGTTGCAGCTTGTATCTAGGTTAGATTTTAGGACTCACTGCTTTGAAGAAAGAGAAGGAAAGCCTAAGACTGCTAAACGTAAGGCAGATAACCGATAGATAACAGAAATTACACCAGTACCCACAGAACGTATTCCACATCCATTGCCAACACAAGCCTAAGAGTGAAGATTGGAAACTTGAGCAACACAAAGCAGGACATGCCATGTTGTTTAAACCTCAAAGCAATGAGCATCTTCCAACTATTTTGTGGTGCTAGGTGCAGCATGTTCACTCAATACTGGAAGGAACAGAACTAATTCACTTCAAAAAATGGTAGGTAATTCAAAGGAGTCAGAGATCTGGAGGAGCACATCATTTATTCTGAGCAGCACAGGGAAATCTCACCGTATCTTATTTCTCACATAGGAAGACTAAAGTTTATTTGATAATTTCCCAAAGTTATCCAGCACTGCTTCAACAACTAGCAGAAAATTTTAAACTCAAATTTTGAGTATGGGAAACGGAGTTTATAGAGACACCCTTAGTGCAAATTTAAATAAAGGTTAAAGGTAAAATACCAAACAGCTTATTGATTGCCAAGGCGAGTCTTACAAGTACATAAGTCATGGCAAAGCTTTTGCTCTCCTAAAGACAAACAGTTAAATCTTCCTGCTCCTAATCATAGAAGGAAGATATCACAAGGGATCCCAAGACTGTTCAGCTCATCCAAACTGTGGAAGAAGGCAGCAGCTGAAAGAATTAGTAAGCACATAACATAGCCTCTGCTCCGTTGACAAGGAAAAGGTTCACGCAGATGTCCAAAATTCCAAATTATCCTATACTAGTTAGCAGGTAAAAATACACAAAAATGCAGGTTTAAAAGCAAGTAATACAATGTTTTCCATGCATTTATGCCCTTTTGATGTGGCTGGACTTTGGAATTATTGCACAGGTCTTGCTCACCCTCAAGAAATATAAAAACAAATTTAGCAGTACTGAAACTATCAGCTACAACACTGAGAAACTTCACTGCATGGGGTGTTTATCCAAAAGTGAAAAATGAAGCTTGAGGATACAGAAAAAAACAACCAAAACAAGAGCCATGTGAAAGAAGTGGACTGTTTGAGATACTATAACCTTTTACAGACTGAAATAAACATTTCTACAGTAACTCCCTATAGCTTGAACATCAGTAAATACAAATAGAACTAAGCAGCTACTTTCCAGATAGGTTTAAGAATTTAAGATCTCGTTAAATGCATTCACACGTTTGCAAATGAGCATTTTTGGGGAAGTTTGGAATTTTTTCCTCTTATTTTTACTGTCTGACATTAATTCAGTCACCTTTAGGGCAGTTGCATATTTCTGCTGACTTTGCTGACCCAAGAATTGAAGCGTGCCAAAATTTCAATCTATTTTAGCATCTCAAATTACAGCAAGAGTTCCCAGCACAGCCACCTGAGAACTATAAAATAAGGCATAGTCCTGTACTTTTTATACTTATATATTTAAACCAATTTATATCTATATTTTTATGTATTTATGTATATTTAATAAGACTTAAACCAAATATATCCAAAACCTAACCTCTTTGTCATCTTCAGATTTCCTATCCTCCTCCTCTTCCTCTTCTTTCTCAGACTTCTCTAGCTCCTTTTGCTCTTCTTTTTGCTCCTCTACTTTCAGTTGCTTTGTCAGTCGAGCTATCAACTGAGATTTCAGTCCTTTAGAGCTAAGAGTTCGACTTTCTAATTCTTTGCGAAGGTCATTTACCTGGTAAATAAAAGCTCTGTAAGTGGTATCAACCAGTGACATTGCAAAACACGTGATTAGCAGAAAAGGTGAAGTAAAAATCAACATCACTGAAAAGTCAAGTGTATTTTTTAAAATTCTCTACTGAGTAGCACCAGTATGTACCGATACAAATTATTACGTTTATAATCATTTGCTCCTTAAAGACCCCTTTTTTAAGGGTTTCATAGAGGCAGGGAAAGATTTGGTAGTTTAAGGCTATTATCTCCTTTGTGGAAACTTTTTATTATGTCTCCTGACATACATTTGCATCTCATTATTGCCTTTTTAAACTAACACTGAACTATTTTAGGCTCCACATTTTAAATGTGAATAGAGATGACCAGATTAATGCAGAACTTTCATTTTCCAGTTAAACTGCAACATATGCACAAGCTTTAATTACACAAAGTTCAGAAGTCACAAAAGCTTCAATTACCCATAATCACCTACTCAAATAGTCTCACTCTTTACATTGTGATCCCATACATAATACTTATGCAAGGAACAAAAAACACTAGTAAATTCTTCTCCTTGGTTAAGGGAATGACAGCTGTATGTCAGATTGTGCTTTAAAAAAGAAAATGCATGATGGAATCAAGTTTAGAAATGTAGTTACCTTCATCGTTTTTGGATCCAGTTTAGACCAGTGTGTAGGTGTGGAGATCTCTTTTGCTTCCCCATCATCCTTTTCCTCTTCATCCTGACAAATAAAATTTTAAATTTATCCTTCAGAAAGCTTGAAAGTATTTCAGTAATTTTTAAAATTCTGTTGCTGATCTGTGCAAGGTCACAACTGTTTCAGACAGTCTTCTCCTAAAGTTATTGTTTAGACAAGTTCACACACACATTCTACCACTTCATAAATGATCACAGTGCCACTCAGCCAATACAAGCCAGATCTGTGGAACACAAAAGGGTGATAAGCAACACCACAAAGAATATCGGGGTTACACAGACACTGCCGGTCTCCATTAACCGCACAGTGTGTGATCTTCCCCCAGGTTTTAAATCCCCAAAGTTACTCTTTGTTCAGTCAGACCTTCCCTCAATCCAAGATGCTGATCAGCCACGTGGCCTGAAATTCAGATGTTTCAGACTAGTGTCTGGTGAGTTTCAAATATCACAATTAGAACTGGCCACAGGAGAGAATTTAGGAATTTTAGAAAATGGCAAAATGTTTGAAGACAGCTATTCATGAACTGCATCTCACTCAACAACTGGTCCCAGATTCCAGCAACTACTTCTATGATAAAAATTGTTCTGCGCATCGTAAGCACAATTTAATTCCATTTGTGATATCGGCATACACAGTTAAAGTTAGTAAACTAGCTGAAATAAAAATAAAAACCACCATTCACTACACTGCTGAAAGCTGGTTTACCAGTCATTGTTACCAGTTATGTTCTTCCTATGTATGTATGTTGTGTAGTATGTGATGTGCATTTTGTGCCTGTGTTCCTGTGCCTGTGAGAAGCAGAAATAGAAAAAGGGATTAGCGTTCAGTGCCTGTTCTCCATCAGCCTCCTTGCGTTCACCCTGAAGCTTCTCGACCAGCTGCTGCTTGTATCCTCGGGAGAGGGTTTCCCACTCTGAGCGGGTGGGAAGGCAATGCCAAACATCCGGGAAAAATAAAACCACTGTCTCCACATGAGCTGGAACTGTACGCCCCTTGTGCGTCTCCTCAGGGCGATGGTAGCGAATCTCTGCAAAACGGTACCTGTTGCAAGGGAAGAAGCATGTTGGAAAAAAAATTCTACAATACATTTTAAAGAGCCTAGATCACTTGTAGCACATCAAGTAAAGAAATTTTGCTGCAAGACCTTGAAGTTTGTCTAAAGAAAAAAATTATGGAAGCCATATTTTCTCTTTCGGCATGTTTGTCAAGATGCATCGCAATTGGAAAGGAAGACAGCTGCCAAAATCCTGTTTCATACTACTTATTTAGTATACACAGGTTTAACGTGCAAATAAGAGGCACTGAAGTACATGAAATTTAGCACACAACAGACATTTCTGTGATATTACTAAAGTTACGTTAACGCGGGACAAGTGAACTCATCAAGAGAAAATATGGCTATATAACCAACAGCTAAGTATTTACAAAAGAACAATGAAATGAAGTTCTCTTGGCGATCTTCTTCAGCTATGTACAAAATGAAAAATATTTTCAACACACATTCATTAAAAATTACAGCATAACAAGTCAGAATAAATTCAGAATCTTTAATGAGTCCTTAATACATTATTCAGCAAAGTAGGCACCAATCAAACTTATTACGGAAACAGAACACCCTTTGAGTCGTTTACCTGCACTACCAACAGCAGCTGGCAAGGAAAAAAGAAGTTTTCCCGTCTTCTTTTTTTTCCTTTAATTATTATTTTTTATTTGTTCGTAACAGAAAATACTTCTACTTTACTTTGCAGTACAGTACTTACCATTGTGTGCACACACTTAAGTCAATCCCTGTAAGAGCCTTGCAACAACGAATAGCCGTCTTTATCAGCACCGAAGGGTCCTTCTCTGGATCAGGTCCATCTAGTGATGGGGACCAGTGTCCTCCAATAGCCATAGCTTCATCTTTGCCTTTCATACCCACTAAAAACTAGACAGAAAGAGTCTTCTGAATGTTCCCCTACTAGGGATAAAAAGTCATCTTCCCAAAGCGTAAAGAATATTTCATAGCACACACACTGAAATCCATGAGCAAACTCTCAGATTATTTTGAAATCTGAAAATGAAAGTCAGTCAAGAAAGAGTTCAGTTATTTTTTTCCACAGACTAATTCAGAAATGGAATAGGTTTAAAACATCATCACTCATTCTTGTTTGCAAGACTTTCCATCAAGTTTCCTTATCGGTAGAGGCTTGTTCCTCTGCAATTAAAACCTTCCTAACACAGAAAACAAACACATAGTAATTTAAATGGTGTCTTAATTCTGATGCACATATTTACAGATGTACCTGCTCAGAAGTGATAAAGCACCGCTACAAAAGATAAGATCACAAGAGCATTGTATCTACAAACTCAATATTCCCACTGGTTCTAGGATGGAGTTTAAATGAAAAACAACAAATATGTTGTCTTGAAATATTATAGCACCTACAGGTTGTTCAGTTTAACAATTGTTAAGTTTCACTACAATAGGTACTGAACTACTGCTTCATTTGTATGCTTGTCACAGCTGAGACCTTAAAAAGGTTTAAACACTTGTAAAAAAAAAAAAGGCTAATGAAGTTAATAATGCAAATAGGTTTCTCCAAACACCTATGTTGAGTGAGTTGAAGAAAACACTAAGTATGAAAGGAACGAAGATAAAACTCCATTAAATTGGAAAAAGAAGTAATATCCGAACTAGATCTTTTCAGAGTGGAAATAAAGTCAGTTAGCTGCTTACAAACTCTTCCCTTTTTGGCATAACCAACCTCCATTGCCAAGAGTATCTGGCATATTTACCTTTACAAGTCTAGCAGGATGCTGAAATCCATCACGAAGTTCTTGGGGATCTTCAGCCAGAGCACAGGACTTGTGATAGAGGTCCTCCATACTAGGGCTAGCCATCAACATCACCTGTTGTGTAAATCAGGTCAGTCTTGTGAAGGTCTCCCAATATAACTGGTAAACAATGACCAAAACTTGTGTACCCATACACACCTATGCTTTCCTTAATATCACAAAATATCAGGATAAAGTAAATAGAAATCACAGAACTTAAGCTTAAAATGTCCTCTCTCAGTCCCTCACTATTCCATATGCGTGCCACGTGATCTTAAAAAAATCAACTGAAAGCATATAAAGCAACATGCAGACTGCTGTTCTTCACATTTCCACTATAGCTTATATTAAGAAGTACTGGGTACATTCCTAGTTTAACTAACAGACTTCTCCCATTTTGCTGCAATCCCAAGAGCTGGCTGACATTCATCTGTACCTTCTTAGCAATCCCACTGGCCCCGCCAAATCTAACAAGCTTTCTTAATAACCTAAATAACTTAATATTATGAAACAGAAAGCTGTTTTCTCATTTAAAGATTGTATTTTAAAGCTCAACTTTCTGAAAGAGTTGCATAGGTAGAATGGAAAAAAAAACAAAACAGTACACCTGATGTTTTAGTCAAGGCTTTTTTTTTTTTTTAAAAAAAAAAACAAACAGTCAGTACACTAAGACTTTCTAAAATAGTTTTGTTTCTAAACCTAATTGATTCACAAATTTCAGACTTATTTTAATTGAAGAGCTATCACAGGAAAGGGTGTTAGGAACTGTCGTATTCAAAGATCCTGCAGCTTTGTTTCCTGGGTGCAGAGAATACAAAAGTATCTCCATAAAAACAAGATTTAGGACAGCTCTAGTAGCAGAAAAACCAATTAATTTCCATCATAATTCTTCAAGTTCAATCTACTAGCTGTTCACTAAAAGGTTTTAAATACTGTATTTTGCTCAAATAAAAAAAAAAACAGTTCAATTATATATATATTTTCTTATCCTACTGGCAAAAAAAAAATAATAATCTAAGGAGCAGCTGTAACACCAGCAACTGTACAAACCTTAGCACTGTAGAGATGATCAGCATCAGGCGGATCGAGGACAGCAGCATTTTTATCTATAGGGTCTACTTCTCTATGCATTACATAGAAGTTACAGTAGTTTCCCAGTTGAAATGGTCTAGACATTGGGAAAGCATCCACCCATGTAAACTGAGCATCGAAGAAATCACTTGGGATATACAAGTTCTGGTAACGCCTCCTCAACTCCATCATATCACAGCTGCGGCTGAAACACATAACAGTATTTGAAAGGTACAGCAATAAAAAGTGTAAGAAAAGCACATAATTATAAGTATAAATATACCTCTTAATTGGAGACACGTTAAAGAGTAATATATCTAATGAGTCAGGTATTAAAAAACAACTATTAAACGTTCCTCTAATAAAGGTGTCTACAAACTAGGGAATACTCGTTAAACAGTAAGGTTATAAATCCATTTTGCACTAACACCAAAAGGTTAACAGAGAGCCCAGAACATTTCACTCACGATTCTCAGCCATGAAGTATTGGATGCTATTTTGAAGTCAGGATCATAACGCCCGCTAAATACATTTGCTGACACTTCCCACGGTAATTTGTACCCCTATTAAAATGAGATCTTTAAGTGAAAATCTGGTGTTATAAACATACCAGTCCAATGAAAACTTAGAAAACTGGACCGTGTAACGAGGAACAACACGTCGCGGTCTTCGGGGCGACCTCTCCCTCTCTCGTCGAGGCGATCTCTCTCTGGAGCGTTTTCTCTGCGGGGATCTTTCCCGAGATCGACGCCTCTCCCGATCTCTCTCACGGCTTTAAAAGAAAATGCATACATGCTAGCAACACGCAAAGCACGTGTGTAACACAAAAAGCTTTCTACCACAAAGGAAGCTAGATTTCTCAGGGACGACTCACAAAAGGGAAAGGAGAATTTGCTGGAAAAAAAAAAAACAAAAAAACCCGATGAGGAATTTCTTTACAAAAGAGACTGATAAATCCAATCATTTTATTTCAAACAGGTAAGAACTCTTCACTGAGTTCCATTTAACTAATGTTATCAGTTATCTAGTGCTACAAACGGTTGTGCATATCACTGTCCCAGCCTAGCGAAAGCAGCTCAGCTTTCTTAGACTAGATTATTATCAGAGCAGGCTACAAAGATCTGTCACCAGCACACCTCCTGTCATCTTTTCGGTTTGGCATAGGATCTCCTCCTCTGTCATTCCTCCCGGAAAATCTGGATGGTGGGTCCAATCTTCGAGCCGGTTGAGGCTGTGAAACTAGACGGACAGGGGGCTGTAACAAACCACCTGGAACAAAAACGTACAGAATCAGTACCTAGCAGAGGACAACTGCCTAAGTCCCTAAAAACACTGCCACTTCACTGTTGTTTTCTTTGTGTACATGCATGTTTTCTAAAACATCTCTAGAGTCTATTGATTAACATCGTTCCCACCAAGAAACTCTATAGACCTTTGCTTTTCTTCACTGATACAAATTTAGCCTCTAGAATTTATTTCAGGAAGCAAAACTGCTTTAAAAGTACATTTGTAATACAGAAGTTAATATAAATCTAAGCATATAGTAGTTACCCTAGTAAATACCTAAACCTTCTCTTAGAAAAGTAACGCTTTTAAGACGGGTATATCACATACTCAAAAAAATAAAAAAAACCTACAACCTATTTATCATGTTTTTTTACCTATGAATAGCAACTAGCTTACTGTAAAAATTACTCCTGTATCATCTGATTATCCTGGCATATCAATTCCCAAACATACAATTCTGCTGGCTCAAGACAATACACACTTAACTGATTATAAATAGAGCAAATAAACACTGATGAACAACCAGGACCAATTAGACTGTAATAAGCACTTATCCAAAACAGTTCTGCTTAGATGATGCCCTCTCCTTGCTTTTCTTGTGGGTAGGATGACAATGCCTTGATTGTCTTATCATCAATTCTATTACTGATTTGTCAGTCACCCAGAGATCAAATGATAACAGACTTCGTTTCAAATCTGCCATATTCAGTAATTTTTATTTTCGTGTCAATTTGGCTGACTGAAATGAATACAACACTAATATAGAAATAACAGTTTTAAGAACATCATTATGCAAAACCTGACTTTGCTGAACATTCCAAATGGTGCTGAAGAACTACAACACGACCACAATTTTCAACTCTCCCCGTTGTCTGCTAAAGTATCAGAACAAAAAACTACACCAGATTACAACATCTTAGTAGGAATGACAAGAGTCTGTAGGAATGTCACTAACCAGGTGACTCTTGAGCTAGTAGTGGAGGCAATGCACCATGCATACAGTTGCAAAAAGATGCACATTCTAACTGAAAAATTATGAACCTGTCCTTCTGTGGAATTCTTTCCACATTACTTCAACTGTTACTTCAGACTTTGCACTGACAAAAAAAAAAAAAAAAATCACACTAAGCACAGTAAGAACTAGAACAAGCTTTGCATGCTGAAGGAGCACCTTTTTGCTGTGGCTGCTGCAGCAATGGCTGAGGCTGTGTCTGAAGCAGAGGTGTGATTGAAGCTGCTGATATCTGTGCCTGCAGCAAGGACTGGGGCTGAGGCTGTGCCTGAACACCGAACGCCGTCTGCTGCGCAATGGGCTGAAGAACTGCAGGAGGTGTCTTGAGTAATGGTTGAGCCTGTGTCTGGTTCTAATAGCAGAAAAGAAAATGAGTTGTGAAGGTGCTTAAACCAGAAGAGGTCAGTAAAAGATACACTGGGCAACCCTCCTACCTGATTTGGAAGCGTCTGGATCCTTTGTGCATTCCATTTGAACGGCATATTAGGATTGTAAGTAGCTTCCACTAAAACTCTGTCACCCACCTGAGGTGTCTTTCCTTTAACAGCACTGCAAATATTGCAATAAGCATATTGTGAGTCTTATTTAGCTACAGAAACTATTTTTACATTTATAAGTTATGTTTGAAGTTGGGGAAAGCAGATAAAAGTTCACAAAGAAGGCTTAAAGGAAGAAAGGTACAAGGTACACTCAGTTTGGAGTATGAGAAAAAAATGTTACACCTGTCCTTGGCTCTAACACAAATTCCTCAACTATGCTGTATTAAGATAGGCAGATAGCAAAATATATGCATTTAATCACCCACAAATTGTGCAATTTCATATTATAAGGAGCTCACTATCTTCTGCATCTCAACTTTGGATTCTGCATTAAGAAAACTCAAAAATTCATGTAAGGAACTCAGATCTACTGTCTACTAACTCAGCATCTGACTCGGTGCTGACTGAGAAAAGCTAACTGCAGACATTGTGAGTTGAGTCACAGAATTGTAATGCAGTAACATAAACCTTTTCTCTAGCAAGGGCAGCACGGAACACATCAGCAGACAAGTGTTTGCACCTTACCTAAGTTGAAAAAAGACATCTTCATCCACAAAACCAAATGTATCATGCAGTTTAGTAACAACCCCAGTGAAGACGCGCTGCTTTTGCGGTTGCGTTTGCTGCTGACTTGAGCGGGGCGCTGGGTAAGAAACTGTTATCTGGGCTGCTGGTTGAGGAGTAGATAGGCTAAGACTGGTAGGCAGTGCAACAGCTGGCTGCAAGCAAAATAAACAAAACTATGAATCACCTAACCAGATGATACGTCTACAAGGAAGTTTTTAACCAATGTAGAGAAATACTTATGAAATCTCTAGAGCAACTATTCTGAACAGAGATTTTCAGAAGGTGGAAGTCTTTATTTTTTTTATTTTTTATTTTTGAAGATAACGATCTTTCGACTTCGAATGGAGTCTGGCTTTATCCTTTAGAAAAGTCAACTTTCTCAAAATATTAACACTGTCTAGAAAAAAATGAAGACTTCACTATCATGTGTAAGTAACCCATACAGTGGGTTGAAGAGAGAGAAATGCTAACTCTGCTATTAAAACATGCTTACAGATCACTCCCCGGTTGTACCCCAACTATTTATTCCAAGTAGGTTAAAGGCTGAGGCTAACAGAGCCCTTCCCTAGCCCAACAAATTTAAGTGCTTGTCTTCTTATTAAAACACAGTAGAAGACTGAAATTAAGTAAACTATTTTTACCTCATTTTTTTTTTCTAAGAATGATTATGTTAATTGTAAACAGTACTAGAACCAATGCGAGTGTTAAAATGGTTGTATGTTCAACCTTCTCAAGCTCAGCAAGACTCTCTGTAGACCTCTAGTATTCATACTGCAATAAGGTTAGCACAAAGTTAAATTCCTCTTTAAAGGACTTTCCCCATTACTACAAAACAACTGAATACTTGAAGTTCGGAAAAAAAAAAGTATTCAACATACATTTCCTTCAATATGAAGGAAAAGCAGTTGCCATTAAACTTTTGAAACCAAGGCTATGCATATTTTAACATCTGGATAAAATAAATCTATACCAATAAGATGGCCACTCATATTAGTTCATTTTACAGATTGAAATGCTCAGGAAGTCAGAAATTTGTGCTCTTGCATTATCTGTGTTTGGGGGTGAAGACCAAACAATAAAACCAAACTAACCTGAGTTAAAATGGTCTGCTGAGGTTGCTGCAACTTAAAATAAATAAAGTTATAAATTAATTTTATATGCTTAAGGAAACTGTACAATTTCACCTCCTCTTTACAAGTAAGAGCAGTTTTTGCTTAATCTGAGTCACTAAAACTTTGGGGGTTCGATCATTTAAGCAGATTGCATATTCATAAAATTGTGTTCATTTGGTTAATTGTAACACTGTGCAATTCAGATTTATTAAGTAAGCAGACGTTTCCTTGTAACTGAAAGTTAACAGGAATATAAAAAAAAGTTTTGGCAGCTGGAGAAGCTTAGGCCTGTAATCCCCATGTCCTTTTAGTCTTTTTCAAAGTCCTGTAAATTCAAAGACCATGAAATATGTAAAAGGGAACTTTTTTTGGACAGCATCTTTCCAGCAGTTAAAATACATGGCCCTGATTAGAGCAAAGTTTAGAAGGAATTGTGTACACATGGAATACTACGTATTTTTATTTTCTTTTTGCATTAAGGTAGGCAGGCTTCCATTCTGGATATATCTCTCCAAGTTTGTAAACTTCAAGCTCTCTTTCACTACACAAAATGTTAATTACTTTAATAACTTCCCACGTGAGGATGTTTTTGTAGACAACTCCTACAATACACACAACCAACATTATTTTTCAAGTTTGTGATGTACACAGTAAGAATCAGACAAACCTGTTGCTGTACACTATAGAGAGTCTGCTGAGGCTGTGAATATTGCTGAAACAGATAAAAGCAAAATATTTCATGAACAGGAAGTATTTTTAGGCCCAAAATATCAAATCCAATTAACTGCTAGACATGTTTGAGATAAAAACTATTCAAATGTAACAATAGAATATAGAAATAGTATCAATATGTACTACTTTTATAACAAATATTCTTCATCTTTAGACTGGATTTTGACTGGACTTCTCAGCCAAAGCTTTACATTAGCACATACAGGACAATCTGCAGGAAATCATGAAAAATGACATCAAGTTACATATGGTTACTGGGGATATTTGCAATTTGAGATATTCAGCTTAGGTGTGGCAGAACTCCTTTTCCTGGACTGCATTCCATAGCCAACAGTCAGCACCTCCACAGCCAAAATTCCCACCTTCCCCAATTGATCCATCTGTCAATAGCTGCAGACCTACGATCCTACGAGTTTTGTTTGTTTTTAAAGTCTACAAAACAAAGGTAAATATTCCCCCATTTTCTTTCCTTATACATACTTCTGCTTCACAAAGCCAGTGTTTTATATTTCTAAGTTCCTAACAACAACCGCAAACGCTCTGTTCTTTACCTGCTGTAAGGCAGCTGCTGCAGCTGCCGCCTGCTGCTGCAAAGCGGCCGTCTGAGTTAGCTGGTAGTTGGCTGGCGTTTGCGTAGTCAGCCCTGCCGCGGCCAGCGCCGTCTGCTGGGTGTATATTGTAGGAGAGGCTCCAAGCAGCGACGGCTGCTGCACACCAAGAGCAGCTGAAAGGAGAAGGCACGCATCAGCACCAGGAGTGGCTTTAAACAGATTCACTTTCTCGCAGTGGTATTAGACACAGTACGTGATGCTTTACTCCTCAGTCAAGCTCCTGAAGTACATAATCCCACTTGGGAAAAAAAACAGCGTAAGGGATCACACTCTCTTTTACTAAATGTATTTACAAATAGTACAGTACAGCAGAGGCACGGAGACTTGAATTTCCTTTTCTCTCAAGCTGCATATGACTGCACAGCTATAGTAACTGTCAGCCCCGTCTCTCGCCTGCTCCCAACACATGCATTCAAGAAAAGATGCAGCGTGTTTCAGGCTTTGGATGAGCGCAGTAAGGATTGTTGCTCTCTTCTGCACATCAATTAGCATTTCATTCTGAGGGCGTGAGAAATCATAGAATCACAAGGTTGGAAACGAACTATAAGATCATCCAGTCCAACCACCTTACTGTAGCAACTGTCTCCTTACTGTAGCAGCAGCTCTGGGGTGAGGTTTATAGAATGTGTGCTCCGCAAATGCACAAGGCTGGGCTTCACTCAGTGCTGTCTTTGTCCCAGAACAAGCTGAATTTCATAGCTATAGGGGCTGGTAGAGAGCGAGAAGCTCTGTAACAACAGGGAGCTTCATCACTCCTCACGCATAAAGGGAGCCAGCCACGCTGTCTCCTGTCTGTGCTGCACAAATCCACACCATACAGAAGGAAAAAAGTAATAATTTTATTGTCACATCAGCTTTTAATTCACTGTGGAATATGAAGTAAATCATAAGCAGCAGCTATCCACGTGGTTTGTCTCTTCCAACGATTATGTTTTATTTAAGGAACTCCTAGGTACAGAAAACACCATACAGTGCAAATCTCAGTAAAGAAATGCAAACCCATCTGGAGACCTGCTCCACCTACAGCACGAGTTTGTCAAGCAAGCTACATTCAACTGTGTGATCAAATATCATTTAAGCAAGCTATCAGCGGTTCACGTGCTTCAACAGAACTAAAGAGAAGCTCGGCACAGAAGCATGCTGCCAGCAAAAATGGGTCAGCCAGCCACCTTCAGAACATTCAAGGTGAACAGGGCTACTAAAGACACAATGATATTAAGAGCACATACACTGCAATCTTCCTGTGGAATCACACTCCACACCGTTCCTGACCCCAAATGAAGCTGTCACTTCTGACCCACAGATGCAGTAAGACTGCTTTGTGCTTAGTGACCAACAGAAAATACACAGGCGCTGTAATCAGCATAACAAATTCTGAATGAGGCAATCCCCTCTTCATACACATACACATACATGTTCTCTGCAGGAGGGTAAAAATACTTGGAAAACAAGTTGATGACATTAAGCATCTTACAATTTTGGAATGAAATCTGTAAGAAATCCATTAAGAACCATGAAAATAATGATCACTGCTATGATTTATATCAAATATTTCACATAAGTATTCCAGGAAGTAAAACTATTTTAACAGTGAAATCAACCATTCTACAGTACAGCAGAATAGCAGTATTTCCAATATGATGCCACTTTCCCCCTGGAAAATTCCAACATTCACTTGGCTGCAGAAGCCAAGTAAACCAAACGTGGGTCTCCTGCCAGGACGGGCCCTGCACTGCCTCCATCCTCACACCTACTGCTGCTTCTCCCTCTGCCAGTTCCAATTACAACCCGAGTTCCTGACCATCCAGAAGCACACTCTCACCAATGTCTTATATAACACACCTTAAACAGACCCTAGATCTAATCAAAATGCTCTGCTGATGTTATCCTGGAATAACTTCCACTTTTCTTGTCTAATATTACTTTGCTGGCTCATTCAGGACAAAAACAAACAAACCACCAAATGCATTATTCTTTCACTTCCAAATGCTGAACAAAAATGCCTATCAGCACATGAGTTCACTTAATGCTACTGACTTGGAATCTGTTTGACTACGTTAGCTACCATCATTCACTCTGAAGTTTATTCTAAATCACCTATGGCCAAATCTGAGTCCTAGGCTGCAGCTCAAACATCCTTCTATCTCATTGAAATTTCTACTGTTACAAACAAATTATAATTTTGTTTTTTTTAAAGCAATATTTAACAGTTCCTCTTGCTTCTCAATTCCAGCAGTAAGTGACATAGATCTATGTGTTACAATAAATAAGCAGCCTGCCTACCCAGGGCTCTGGATGCCTCTCAGAATTGACAGCAAATGTGACTTCCCACCACACACTTGTCCTTCACCGACACTTCTCTTAGTCATCTTATAGCAGCCACGAGCAACAACAGGGCACAACTGTTGCATTAGGTCTCGATACAGCAATGAAGACAACACTCATCAGCCAGGACTTCCCCGGGACCACAGCTGCACAAAAACAGGTTCCAAAACACAAGGGGGACATCTCAATCCTGAAGATAGCACATGCTAAGCACCGTTCCACCAACAAAACACACTGAGAGAGCAGGAAGGTATCTGAGGAATTCACGCATCATCACACGAATCAGAAGTACTTAGAACAAGCACTTTGTTTTATCTAGAAATTTCACATTTTTAATTTCCTACCTTTCAAGTTTCTGCAATAGCTACAATCTACACTTTAACTATTCTGAAGCAGCATAGCAGGGACTTCATTCTGTTCTCAGTTATGCAATGCACAAAACCATTCCACTAGACAACAACTTCACCACGTGGCTCGTCAGAGTCTCTCCTCACCAGGCATTTACTGGCCTCTGGAATTACCTGTCTTCTAACACCAGAGGCACAGACAGCAATTAGTAAATAATTGTCCCAGAACAATCCCAGGAACACTTCATTACATGGTATGTAACCCTACAAGTACCTTAGAGTGATGTACTTTAATAATTAAGTCCAAACTAGTATAGTGACTTCTTCACCAGAAATGGCCAACACACTATTAAAGTCAGCAAGAGAAAAAAAAATCCTCCTGAAATTATCTTTTTGCAACAATCAAATTGATTTTGCAATATAATCAGGCACCATTTGTGACCAAAATTTAGGAAAAGCTCCACATCACACGGTTTGCATTATGAAAACCAGGATTTCTTTCCTCAATATGCAAGCACCCTGATGCTTTGGAGAAGGAGCCCAACACTCCAATAAAAACAGCTGCCATTCATAAATCTGTTTAACAGCTTTTACAAAATATTGGTATTTCTTTTTCAGTCTGTTCATGAACATAAAGATTTACTCAAGCCAGCCTGCACAACTTCTTGATCTCAGCTGCAGGTGAGAAGCACCACATGCCAGTCAGCACCCCCGACCAGCAGAGCAGCCCAACAGACAGGCAGGCACACCTCCGTGTGAAAGCTGCAGGAATGGGGGCTGCTCAACTGCAGCTCAGAGCTGAAGTGCTTCAGCTCTCGGCAGGCCAAGGAACACATGTTTTTCAGAAAGATTTCTTGCACTCCCTGCTACAAATCAGGACAGCCAACAAGGAAGGAAACTGTGTACATGAGCACTACAAATGGAGCAGGGTGGCAGTATCTCAGTGACTGGAATTAGTAATAAAGACAAGAACGACAGAGGACACAGACGTGCCAACTGTGTATAGCAGCAGGAACAGGAAGGGACCACAGAGAGCGATGTAAGGAGGTAAATGCTTTCAAGTGATCGCGAAGGACAGTGGAAACTCTGCAAGAAGATGGCAGAATTGCAGTTAAACATTAGTCTTCAGAGGCTGCTATGTTAGCATCAGGTGCTCCTGGATTAGATGAACAGCTGAAAATCCCTGGAGATTCCCTGTCCTCATTTAACTGGTGAAACATCTCACACAGCAGCAACTGATGGTCCTATCCCAATTAAATTCTGCACTTCGTTTAATTGAAGGAGGCTGAGAAGCAGGCTAACCAAAGGTAGAGCTGCAGGAACAGGACTAGGGATCAGAAGTGAGACTGTGCCTCCAGTGCCCACACTCCACCCACTATCTGCCCAGGGCTCCTTCTGGTCCTTACCTTGGGAAGTGTAAGATGGCTGCTAGCTACTCTCTCCAGATTTGTGTGGCCTTCCCTCCACAGAAGCATGGAGCCAGCCCTCAGGCCAGCCTTGTATCCACCTCCCTGTGGATATGATGTGCTGGCTGCTGAGAAGGCCCCAGCCCCGAGGCTGCTGTCCTTCAATTCCTCCAAGGTGGCACCAAGTCAGACACCACAACCAATGGCAACATCTGTCTCTCCCATGCTCACTACAGCTGCCCTTGCCCATTGGTAAGCAACTTCTCAGAGGAGTGGCACCACTTGAATGAGGGAAGCACAAGTTATTCAGAGAAATGAGGAAAACTGCACGCAGCCAGCTGGTGGGGCACAGCAGCAGCAGAGGCAAAGGGCTGCACAGGGGTAACCTGAGACTGCATGCAGCTGAGGTCACAGGTGAGGGAGGCAGTGTCCTTAGGGTATGCCTTCAGGCTGGAGTTGCACCCAAAGGAAAAACTGGAGAAGGAGTAAGTTAGGGAAAGCAGAGTCAAGAGAGAGTTGTTGGTTTGTCCGTCCAGGCACACAGCTCCTGTAAATCACAGGTATGCGTCCTCAGCTTGTGCTCAGAACTCAAACCCTGACCAGGGAGGGATGGCACATTGCTTCAAATCAAACAGGAGTAAGACTCCAGGGATAATGAAACAAAAAACAGACAATTCTTTATCCTGAGTCCTCGAAGATGTTCCACATCTTTTTTTTTTTTAAACCATTATTACTACTATTCACATCAGGCAACTTATAATATTAAGGAAAGTTTGTATAGAAGAAAAAAAGCAGCTCTGAAGTTCACCACACAGCAAGCTTCACGTTTCTGGCTCAAAACCCTCAGCACTATAAAACAACGTGAAAACAAAATATAGCTTGTTAAGTTTTCAAAAATACCGTGCTGCAACCAAAGAGGCCTCTCAGGTAAAGCAAAAACACCCCAATACCAGCAGGGCGATGTCTCTGGGTTCTAGGTTGGTGTTAAATATATACAGATATACAGGCACACACACGCATATATACAGCTGCTCCCCACCAAGTAGCAAACTTCAGGGACGTCACTGTACAAAGCATGCCTTCTGTATTAATAAGATGAATTACTTTGTAAGCACCAATTTAGGCTGCCCTGGAAATGAAACTCTGGCAGCACTTCAAGAACAGCAGTGCCTTACTGGGGCTGACATTACTTAACATGGAGCAGCGCGGTGTGATTTACACACCGCTGGATATGAATAACTCGATACCTTGTTTACTTATCCTGTGAATCAATAGAAATCCATCCGCGATTTTACTCATCTCCCTTCACGGAGCAACTGATATTAAGTCAATATATTTAAGCATCTGTACGGTGTGGGAAGCTGCCTCTCAGAGCTGCGCGCCCGTGGGAGCCCGGCGCAGATGCTGAGCAGTCACTGACCTGGCTGGGACACGGCGGTGGCTGTAAACTGAGTGGCCCACGGAGGGTTCTTCTGTCCTCCGAACTGAGCCATGGCGAAAGGCAAAGCTCCCGGCGCCTAGCTTCTGGAACCACAACCTACGAGAACAGAGCGCAGCTGCGAGCTTTGAAACACACGCAAACAAAAGAAGAAAAAAAAAAAAAAAAAAAAAAAGAAAAAAACGCGCCCAGTGCCCCCCCGCCCCCGGCCCCCCGGGGAACACAAATTGCCGCCGGAGAGCCGCCGCGGGGGGGCCCGCCCCCCCCCCCCCCCCCCCCCCCCGGAGCGGGGGGCGGAGGGGGGGGGGAGGAGGGGGGGCAGAACGGCGGCCCTCGCACGGTGCGGCACAGCCTCGGGGAAAGCCCGCCGCCACTCCTTCACCACGAGGAGATTTTTAACTAAGACAACGCCAGAAGTACAAAGGCGGCAAAAAGAAAGCAGCAGCAACAAAACGCCGTCTCGGCACGGCCGGACCCGCACGCCGAGCCCGGGCCACGGAACGGAACGGCCCGGCCCGGCCCGACCCGGGCGGGAAGCGGCCGCCCGCCTGCCCTCCCCCCACCTCTCCTCTTCCTTCTCCTCCTCTTCCTCCCCTGACTACCGGCACCATCCCACACGCCCGCTGTAGCCCCGGCTCCCCCCGCGGCTCGCCCCGAGCAGGCCCCGCGGCCCAGCCCGCCCCACGCCGGTACCTGAGCGCCACCCGATCGCGGCCATTGCCGGCCCCTCCGCGCCGCCCGCACCTCCGCTCGCCTACACCGCGCAGGCGCGCGCACTCCCGCAGGCGGCGCCGAGCAGCGGCGCACGCTGCTGACATCACGGCCTCCTCCCATACGGGGCGGGGGACGCCCGGCGCGCAGGCGCGGGGCGGAGCCGAGCAGGCAGTTGGGCGCGCGCCCGGCCCGCCGCGAGCGAGATTGTGAGGGGGAGGTGTCGGGCGCCATCTTGGCCGAGGCGGGCCGGCTCCGGCGGGCCACCATCTTGCGGGCGGGACAGCTACTGCGGTCTGGGCAATGCCTCCCTTGCGATGTACGGAGGCGGCGGGCTCGTTCCCTTTGTCCCTTCTTCTCTGGCGTGTGTTAGCGCACCGCCAGACGCTCGTCCCGGCAGCCCGGCCGCCTCCGGGCCCGGCAAAGCCACTGAGAGAGCGGCAAAAAGGAAAGCCGTCTCACGGTATCTTTCTGGCGCGCACGGCAGCTTCACGCATGCGGGGTGACTGCAGCACATGAGGTGGCAGAAAGCAGGCTGCTCTGGGACAATTTGCAGTCAGAAACCATTGCAGTAAGTAGTGTGAGGGCAACGCTCATCTCTCCTCCGTCTTTAAATGACGTCGCAAATAGCGCGTTTTCAAGCCAACTTTACTTTGAGGTGAAATACGCACGCAGGGTGTTACTCGGAGTTGGATGGCAAAGTCAAGAAGACACTGAGTCAGAGCAGGACTTCACGGTGTTTTGTTGTAATTAGAAACAAAAATTAACAGTGAAACGAGATCTTGAGGGACAACAACACAGAGCGGGCTGTCCTGTAGGGGCAGCGGGCTGCGTTGTGCCACAGGAGGGGAGCTAGAGGAAAAGGAGACCGCCACATCAATTCCTCTCAGCGTTTTGTATTCAGTAATACACAAAGATACAGCTGCCTTGGAGCTTACACAGAAGTTTAAATGCTTTTGACCAATCAGCATGGTTCTTCATATTTTAAATATTTCTGCGTTTTAAATAGTACTTATGTCTCTTCCTGATGTAACTACATCAAATGCAGTTGCCTTGACTAAGGATCTGTACTCCATGACCCACAAACGACTTAGAAGCTGAAAAAGTGCTGTTTAATACTACAAATGGAAAGGACAGCGGCAACATTTTATAAAGCAGAAATTTGACAGCAAATATCAGGATGCTACAAAGTAGCTCTATTCTTCAGCCCTTGAGGCCGGGGCCTTTCACTCTGAGGATGCCTAGCTCTTCGTGGTGCCCTCAGAGAAAACCTTAGAAGCTCATACAAAAGCCTAGAGTAGAAGATGGTTTTGTGTACTTTCTCCTTTCCGTGTATGCATACTGCAGCCATAACTGGCACATACTGCCGTTGCCCCGTAGAGTACACTCATGACTCCTTTTGATTTTCTTGGGTTCTGCTGTTATGACAAGGAACAGTTTAAATGGGAAACAGTGAGGGGAAAAAAAAAGTAAATGCTTCTAGGCTTTTTTTTTTTTTTTTTTTTTTTTTTTTTTTTTTTTAAGGAAGAAAGGAACAAACAGCAACAACAAAATTCAGGCTTAAATGAATGTTGTGTGCTCTTTTCCCCAAGCCCTAAATATCTGTTAAGTACACCAGACAGTTCAGACAGTTGCTACAGAAACAGAAGGCTGGAAAATGTGACAGTTCTACAAGTTAGTTTAATTGGGCAAACTGAGAAAAAGTGAGGAATCAGAAGGTAAAAAGCTATACTGTGTACCTGGCATCCAGCATTCCTGGTGGTTACAGAAATCTGTAAGAACAAGCTGGATATATTGTGGAGAGAAAAGATGATTTGTAGATACTATAATTAAAGAGCTTTCTATGTGTCCTGGCATGAATGTCACATTTAACAAGGATGACTGCAGAAGACCAAAGGAAATAACTGTGGTATCAGGAAATGCTACATAGCAATAAAATCTCTGGGTGCAAATAGTTATTATTTGGGATTTCTGGTCTTTGATACTCTGCTGCCTAGCTTTGCCCAGGAAAGCTGCGAAGGTGGTCTGTGCTACAGTTCTGAGCAGAAGTTTTTTGGAGTGAAAAATTATGTATCCTTTTTGAACTGATGTTCATTTGGGAGTAAATGAAACACTTACTGCAAAGTGTTTAAAACTAACAGCTTTCTGTTTGTAGTTCTTAAGAATCCATGACTAAAAGAGCTCTCAGAAAAACACCTCTTTGTATATCACAGCACAATCATTGAAATAGATACATTTTCCACTGTGACAACAGCAGGCAGCCTTACTGATTCAGCAGTACAGAAGAAACAACAAGTGCACCAAAAATCATAAACACACAAGGGGAAGCATGCTGATCTTGATATCGAGTGTAACCAGAGCAGATTTAGATGTGGATTTCACAGGTCTCTAATGAGCATGCTGGTTGTTCAAAACCCTCACGTGTGACGTGCTTTGAGGTAGGGGGGTTTCCCCATCAGCCCAGGGGTTGTGAAGCTGTGCTGGTTCTGCATATGATGTAAGTTTTACATCTGCACTGATGTTGATATCATCAACATTTGCCACACTGTATTTGTTGTTTAGTGCAGTATCTCACCTTCCAGTGAAGAAAGACACACACACACAAGTAAGTCCTGTAATTCACGTTAGAGATACAAACATCTGACTTTAGTGAAACAAAAAATGACACCAACTTCACATCTCTGAGAAGTTGAAGCCACAGAAAAATGATGATATACTTGTCATTAAGTAAATCCTTACTGTCTTCAAAGCACCCCTGAGGTATCTCCTTACTGTGATTGCATCATGAGATTACCACAAAACAGAACATTTGCTGCTGGGCTCTTGCCGTCTAACGGAGTCACTGGGTATCAGCTGCAAACAATAACTGTCAGTGCCTGGAGAAATAAGTTATACCTGACAGCCTTAGAAAAGCAGAAGTCCTATTTTTGTAATAAAATGAAACAAGAAACTGTTATAACACTTCATCCTTCCTTTGAAAATATGGGCAGGGTTGAGGTTGTTGTAAGGACACAATAAGCCATGTGCTTCAGAGGCACCATCTGCACTACCACAGGCTGCTTCAGTATTACTCTACAATGAATCACTGTACATTATTGATATTTCATAGAGAGTAACATGCCAGAATAAAAACGTTTTGGCTGAACAGTTGTTAAATAGTGAACTTCATAAAAAATAAGTTAATAATAACTTCTATAACATACTTATCAACCAGCTGTCACTATGCAGCAGCATAAGGGATATTGTGATATTTTCCTGCATCATGTAGAACTAACCTGAGATACTTCAGGTGCAAACTGTGAAAGAAAAACATTGAAGGAAATGCGTAAGAGACTTATCTTTGGTCAGAAAAGTAACCAGTTTTGACTGTACTATGTGGTTAGGAGAACTGAGCATTTTTACCTTTGCAGATATCTAGTAATATCTGATAATAACAATGGTTCAGTTAATAGCTTTTTTTTTTTTTTGTGCTCAAATTGCAGGAGTCGTTTGCAGTGTAGAGTCCTTAGAGAGACTGACAGGCTTTTTCTTGCACAAAATCACCTGCTGTAATCTTTCCCTGCTTTAGAGAGGATTTGACAAAGGTGTTTCTGAACTGGCATGACCCCTCAAAAACATGACGGGGACATCATCAAGTTAAATCAACCTGACTGGGTGTAGCAGATTGCAGATAACATTCTGTATGTGTTTGCTTGTTTTTAAGAGTCTCAAGGCAAAGAGAAAAAGGGTTTTATGGTTTGTTGTATTGGGACAAAGTTAAAGAAGTTGAGAACAGATTTCTGACAAAGTGTGAATTAGTGTAGATGTCCTGTAGTAATATGGATTGGTACAGATGTTAAAACAACTTTTAATTATTTTGAAGTTAACACACACAAGGAGCACAGGGACCATCAGACACAGTGCACTTAACCGGTAAAGTTCACTGCCTAAAGGAATAGGCAGTAAATCAGTAAAACAACTAGAGATCATGTTTTCAGGGAGCTCAAAGAAGAGAATCTTATCTCTTGGTCCTCATTTATTCACATTGCCAAAGCAGTGGGAAGTGACAGTCTATAAAAGGCCCACCTTCTAGAATTAGGACTACTACTGAGTGCTTTGTTTGTAAACTCTGGTGAGAACATTCATCATTCTGAGTGAAGAAATGACTCATAAAAGTCTTAAAGTACTGAGAAAGGCCAGCATGATGCTGGTTTTCTACCACATCTCATCTGCAGCATGTTTCTGGAAAGAGAACCCTCTAACTCCCATGTGTTGTTAGACATTGAACTTAGAAGGTAAATGCAATGGCTGCCTTTCTCAGGCATGAAAAAGAAGAAAGAAAAAGAAACCCACCCAAAAAACACAAACCCCCACCCTTTTATTAAGGCTAGTTGGTGTTAATAGCTATAACTTAGCTGCAGTGGAGTGTCTGGCATCACTCCTGACACAGGGGGCTACAGCACACTTTTGCTGAGGAAACCCAGTCAGCTCTGCAGGAACTACCTGGAATTCTCTCTCAGATGGGCACATAATGAATGGCTGCTGGAAGCTTGTGGAATTACGTAAAGAGTAAAATGCAGTTCTCAGTATTTCACCCTGCAGCGTGTGTGATACAGTTCATACACAACAGGTTGGTTACTGTTGCTGCGATAGATGAGGGGAATAAAACCAGGGATGCAAACAAGGCTGGCTCCGTTCGCAAATGTGCCTAACAAAGCTGAAGGCATTTCCATTGTGACATAGCTGTGTCCACAGCCAGAGTTAAATTATGAAATAATAACATTCAGAGAAATGGTGATGGAAAAAAAAAAAAGTGAAATCAGGTAAAAATGATGTATAAAAATCAGCCTGTTAATATGATAGTGCTGCCCCCAGGAAGAAGGGGATTCTTTAGGTGGAAGTGAAGAATGCCTTTTACAGAGCTGCTGCAGTGTGGCAGCAGCAGCTCAGGGGAGGTGCTATTCAACAGAGCCCAGCTGTTACCAAAGCTGTGGCTGCTGGCTGCCTCTGTGGTTATATAAATACCATGAGCTGAAGGTGTTTCTGCAACAATAAGGAAACTCTTAACACTTAGAGGGTGTTCTGAGAAAATGAGAGGAGAGAGTAGACTGATAGCAGCGGACAGGTGAAGTGCAGCTGAACTGCCAGCTCTGCGCCGTGCCAGAGGGGCAGCTCAGCAGCAGTCTGGTGGCTGCTGCGTTGCCAGTTCAGTGCCACACTCAGATCCCACAGAGATCTGTGAGGGCTGTGTTTGCAGCTGTCTTGTCAGTCCGTGAGAGGCTGGCTTTCATTCAGCTGAACCAATGCTCTGTCAGTTATCTTAAATAAGCAACCAAATATCTTCTCCCAATATTTTTCTTATGAACAACCCCACCTAACACTTCAAAATTAAAACAAAGCAGTGTTCCTATGATTAAAAAGATACATTAGAAGGACACTTTTGAAAGTTGTTTTGGATAATCAGTTAGTGCTGAAATTCCAGAGAAACACACTCTTGCAAAAGGGGGAAATCTCTCTCAGAAAAGCGTAGCCTCATCTTTTAAGAATAAAGTAATGTCTTAACTAAAGTCAAATCTTATGACTTGCTTTATATTTAACTGGTTAACATTTGACTTCGATCAGAAGCACTCACCTGCCAGTACCGCCCGCAGTATTGAGCCTCCTCCCACAGCAGGGCAAAGGCCTTTGACCTGAAGGACAGGCAGACACTGTGTGGTGCGGCATAGTGCAGAGATTAGAGGTTTAGCTTGCTATGGGCCACACAGGCTGCAATTCACAGGAAGAACAGCAAACATGCACACAACTTGTTTGTGCAGCACCTCCTTCAGCATGAGGGAGCAAAGGAGAAGGACTTAAGCTCTGGTTTGCACTCAGTTCACTCAGGCAGTAGACATTTCGTTCAAAGGGAATGCTTGCCTGTATTCCTCGGGGAGATGCAAAACCTCTGGCACTTGCAAGGCTTTCTTATCCTCAGCAGAGAGAAGTCTCCCTCCTTTTATTTCTTCCCTTGACTACATTGCTAGCCAGCTCTCCTAAGAGCCGCAGCCTGTGGTGAGAGTGGTTAAGTGGTGGCACACCTGTGCCACTTACAGCCTCTTGCCCTCTGTGAAGAGAGTAATTTACAACAGCCCAAAAGATCTCACCCTTTGGAATTCAGAGCAGCTGTGACTCTGACCCTAACAAGGCTTCCTGCTATGAGGGAAGAGTTAGAATCTGCCATAGAAACACAGGATTAATGCTTCATTTTCCCAAAAGAATTTTTCAGATGAAGGGAGTGAGAGTCATCGTTGTACAGAAACAGAAGCCGAGGTTTGGTTTTGTTTCCCACAAGCTATGGGTGGAAGCTGTGTTTTAAAATCTCTGTGGTTCATATGCTCTATAACACAAAGTTACCCCTAACAGGAAACAAGCTGGGTGGCAGCAATGCCAGGACAAGGCAAAATGCAGCTGGCTGGCAGTACCTGTAGCTGGAAAATGTTGCTCCTCAACCATGTCTGTCCCTCGTGTTCTTGGGTCTGCTCCTAAATCTTCAGTACCATTCAAAGTCCACGTGCATTCTTTGACACCTGTGCTGTAAGAATGCTGGCTCTAATATCAAACCAAGGAATGTGTACTGCTTGAAAGGCTTGATAGTACTGTTTGGAGAAGGACTGGGGCAGTTTGGGAGATCTGTTGCTGTGAAAACCCATTAATGATTATCCTCTAAAAGCACAGCAAATTACGCAGCAGGCTAAAGGCCTTCCTATTGGATTACCATATTCAGTTCCCAGGGACTCGACATGCTGTGCCATGTAATGCTTTTACATTGCTAGGGAGTTACCGAAGCCTGAGGATAGCAGCATTTTTTTGCCCTCTGGGAGAGTCAAGTTATCTGGAAGACTACTGTGCTGACAGATAATTTTTGCTATTACATTTATTTGGGAAGGAAAAGAAGCAAATGCAAACATTCAGAGTTGTTTTCCTCCTTCAGATTCAAAAACAGAATTTCTCCCTTATAGTGTTCTACACTGAAATGTTACATAATAAAGCTGTCTAGAGCCACAGCCTGTTTTGTCTTGAGAAAAATATAACGTAACCTCTGAGCTGAAGCAAATAAAAACTGGACTCCTTCCACTGGGTGGGAACCAAAGAGAGAGCTGCAGTAATGATCCCCATAAGTTTCCTCTGCCAGATAACACAGGTAGGATAGCGAGTCACTGTTTGTATGTATGATCATCACAAACTGTTCTGTTCTTTTCAGATTTTCAGTTCCGGGATTTTCTGACAGCTCCTGTTACTGTACGGCCCCGCGTGGGACAGAACAGTGTGGCAGGTGAGGAAAGGCAGACAGACAACAGAGGGAACCAGGCAGCTGAGCGACATACGTGTTTTAAATGGTAAACAATAGGTTCTACATTGTAGGTGCATACATACATGTGGGTATTTATATATACACACAAATAAGTGCGTAACTTTATATCCTGCATTATGAAGAAGGGCATTAACTTTGCTCTACGTTGCAGGGTATAAATTTTCAATCTCTAGTTACTTCAGTATGATTTTGTTCTGTTTTGTATTGGGAGAACAACTCTTTTTCCCCCTCTCAAAGCATTTTACAAGAACGTTTATGTTTCACTTCAGGAAAGAAAAATTAGACGACTAAGTGCAAAATAGAAGTATAAAATTTATTTAAAACCACCCACAAAGTTCTGTGTAATCAGGAATGATACAATTTGTAATAGTCTTTTTAAAAACTCATGACAAGATTTAAAATATATTTTCAATTACAGTATTCATTTAGCCTTATTCAGTTAGGACAATAAAAAAAATGAAAGTTTACGTTCTAAACAGATGAGACACACAAGAAAAATAGAACAGAACAGACAATTTCCACAACAACAATTTTTACATGTATGTTTCAATACTAGTATCAACATTTCAATGCATCTTGCTACATAAACATGAAATCATGTACAACAACTGCTTGCACCAAAAAACATAGCTTAATTAGATCTTTCAAGTAACATGCAGTCACAACTCACAAGTCTTCAAGTACTGCTGGTAAGGGTTCCCTTGTCTGCAAAGATTGTAAGGTTCAGTTTCTCAGCTAGTGTAACTCTTCAGAGCTCCACCACTCTCATGAAGCTATGCTCAGTTATACTAGGAAAGAATCAGGCCCCAGATATTTTTTGAGAAAAGAAGTAATTTTTACACTTTTTCCTGTAGAAACGGTGACATAATGAAGTGCTTTTTCTTTCTGATTTTTTTCTCCCTGTACATCATCTTTTGCTTTATAAAAGTTATGTTTCAGATCTAAATACAGTAGGTTGTTAAATGAAAAAATGCAAAACCTCAAAGTTGAAAAATAAATATCAAACGCATCCCAAGGAAAGAGAAAGAAAAACAGGGAAAGAGATAGGAAGAAGGACAGAAGACAGAAAATACTTTTTTTTTTTTTTTTTGGCATACTGTAAAGTCCTTTGACTTTTTAAATCAGGAAAGAATTCATTTTTGTACAGTGTGTCCTTAAAAATTAATGCTTCTGTGATAGCAGATTTTGAACAGCATTTACGACCTGGTATAATTCTGTCACATTATGAAGAGCTGTCTCTTCTAAGCCGAACAAATTGCCTTAGACTGATTGTTGAATTTGAAAACGTCTAAGTGTTTGTATTGGTTAGAACTGGGTTTCTTTCAGTGGTGTTGGGATATCATATTTTTGCTTTTCTTGCCTGCAGTTGTTTTTTGTTCACAGGACAAGAGATTTGTGATGTTCAGACACTTCTGTCGCATGGATCTGGCATCTACAAAGTTAGCACAGAATCTGTTTCTGTTAGGCTCTGCAGTATCACTGCATTTTAGAAATTAAAAAAATGAAAATACAAGATTTTTTTCTTCAAATCTTTTTGAAAGATATATATTTGTCAGAAGGGTATGGAGGATGGCACTGCACTGCCAGCAAGGGAAGCCCTGCATGTCACAAGCAAGCAGGGCAGTGCCAGCAGTTTCAGTGCCACACAGCAGGCACTCACAGAATGTTGGTTTTTAGCTTTGTCTCTCAAAACTTATCCCAGTGTGGCAACATCACACAGCACCACACACCCTGCTGGGGACTATGTCAGAAGGGCATGGACTGTGGTACACTCTCACAACCCCACTTTATGTAACTGTGTAAAAGGTTCAAATACAATAAGAGCAAAGAAAAACTGCCTAAGCTTAGAAATAGTCTTGTTGACAATTCCATGAGATTTCTGGCCAGATCATTATTTTGAGGTACAAATCTTATACCACATTCTCTTTGTAGACAAAGTTGGGAAATGTACAGCCAATATAAGCAAATTTGTAAGTATTCATTACAAAACAGGTCAGAGAAATTTCTTTTCAACCTGTATTTCTAAGCTGAGAACAATCTGGATGTTAATTGGCAGTATGCACAAAATAGGGCTATCAAGACATCGATTTCCCATGGTTGTACACATCTGTGGGTAACAGTTTCAATTTATACTAATGACCTTTTAACCACAATCAGTATAATGGGGTACTCCAAAGGATGTAAGCTCAGTGGGCATTCATTTACAGCCTCTCTGTCCTTTCAACATGGTGCAAAGGACAGTGGTATAAAGGAGAATCAAATCCTTCATTCTTAATTTAAAAAAAGATTCCCAGATCCTAGACCCTTTTCCATTACAACGTAATAAAACTACAGACAAACATGTAAAATATCGATAAGATCACAAAACTTTCCACAACAGCATTAGAATGTTCTGTGGTGACAGCTGCAATACTGAACATCAAACTCGCCGTTCCCTCACACCTCTGCAGCAGCACTTCTTTGGAATTCAGTTCATCTGCTGAAACTGGTAACTCTCTGTAGGTTAGCTGACAAATCTGTCCAAGCTTACAGGTGTAGGTTGTTCAGATCTACAGCCTGTGTCCTCTCATTTTGTGAGGAAAGCTGCAAGGGTGTGCGAAGTGGTAAGAACAGCGTTGTCACACCATACAGAACAAGTCACCTTCACGTAAGTCATTTAGCACCCTAATCTTGCATTCACTGCAAGTACACTGCTGGACGATTCTAGCATTTTCATATAACTGTCCACAAAAAATGACATATAAAATGGTCCAGTAGAAAAAAGAAAATATGCTGTTTTAGAAGAATTCAGAAAAGAGCATTAAGAAGAATCTCAATCTTTACGAGCTGAAGTCACAAATACGTGGTGAAGCAGCATAAACAATAGTGGGATGAACTGGGGAACTGGTTTGGAAAAAGAATCCTAAAGCCTTTGAATCTCAGAAAGACAATGGCAACACCCCTATAACCCTTCTATAAAAAGCAGTCACTATGTAATTATTTTCTGCTCAAGCTCAATCAGTTCCACTTGCTGTTACAGAGAAAGTATCAAAAAAAATAATCCACTCCTTTTTTCCAAGCAGTCCTGGCAGTTAAGGCACGTCACCTGCACAATACTGGGGTTTCTCACAAGGATGATAACTAACCTCTGCACAAGAACGTAGCTGCGAGATGTAAAGAAGTACTCCAATACTCCTCTTATGATGGTGCAAGGTCTGCCGGACCTTGAGTGAAGGCTTGGGCAGAGTTGGCAGAGTAACTTGGAAGAAAAGAGGGCTCACTTCACAGAGGTGCTAGCAACAGGAAGAAAAATCTTCCACTCTAGAGAGTGAGGGCTGAGAGCAAAGGGTTTCTTTAGCTGCACGCATGCGTAACAACAGCATAACAGCTACAGCAAGAGATCTGAAGTTAACTGGAAAAACATGTAAAAAGCAAGAAAACACTGATGGATGAAAGATTCTGAAATGTCCTTCTTTCTTGGAATGAAAAAGTATCCGACTGCAATACTCTGGATTCTCTAAGACAGAACATGAATTCAGAAAAATAGAGCTACCTTAAACAGAATAAAAGGTGAATGAAGAAAACAGTTTGGAACAGTCACAAGAATAATACATTCTTATGATATTCCTGAGATGAAGGCCGGATGACTAACGTGCAAAGCAGTAGCAGGTGGGGGAGTAAGCATGAGCAGGCTGACATCTGCACTCCTGCTGCTGAGTACCGAAGCAGATCTGCAGAGTGATAGGAAGGACTTCTGGAGCAGCTGGAAGTGCTTAAAGCATTTGGCAGCTGGTTATAACATCATCCAGGGCCGACAGCTTGCCACAACAGATGATCCATAAAGAGACCATGGGATGAGAAAGCTGCCAGTACTCGGCGCTGTCTGTACAGGGCAGAAAGCAGTGCCTACCCACTGACACCGATCACATGAAGTGTTCCTCAGGGAGATACACTGCATTACCATGAGAACTGTCTACATTTAGCAAGCAGGTATGCAAAGTGTTAAGAAAAAAAATTGGCTTACTCTTCGGACATGACTAAAAGTGTTTTAATTGGACAATGATAAAATACACATTAAACCAATTTTCAAAGACTTAGAAGAAAAAAAAGACCTCTATGTTTACTGGCACCTGAGTAGACATTACTATTAGAAATCCTTGGTCTCTGAGAAAACCTCACATGTAAATCTCTACATTTTGCAGCAACATATTCAAGCACCATGTGGACAACTTGTGAAAACTGACTATGGATCAGATCACGGCAGAAGACACCGAAACCAATTTGTGTACTGTTCCACTAAGCAGCCTCTCTATTTCATGTTAAAGAAGGACATAAATGTAACATGGACTTTAAAAAGCTTTTGTATTTAAAATTAGAGGTACCAAAATAAGGGTCAGTGTAAAGAAGTACCCTAGCAACCACGCCATGTGAACAGAGAAAGCCGTTTCAGAAGCACTGTACCCACTACCTATTTGCCTATGGCTGTCTACACACACACTGACCAACACTCTCCCCCTCCTCTTTGTTTTTTGCTTTCTTTCATTGTTCCTCCAACAAACCAATATACTCAGGCAGAGAACAAAGCAACAATTACTGTCCCCAGAAGAACTATGGAAGCGGACGAATGCGTTCATGCATCCACAGCTGTGGGACACAATGACACGTCCTTTTACTGGTTGGAAACAGTTCTGCAATGCAGACTACAGTGCAGTACCATGGTGTCACAACAGTCAACACAGGCTTTCTCTGCAGTTGTTTTTTGTTTTTTAAAGTAAGATATTCCTTCTCACTTTCTCCTGAAAGTCAGATGGCCTGAAAAAATTAAGAAAACCAGACAGTATTTCCACATGTGATTGGACTGTTCTTTATCTCTAAATTACTTAAGAGAGTGATCACAGGGCACAGCTGGGCAGACATTTTTCACACAGAAGAAATAAAACACCAACAATTTTATGGAAGATGCATCACAAAGACCTCACTTTGAATTTTAATGGCCACAGTGGACCTGAAAGCGAATTCACTTAACACTGCATTAATACAACTGTAGTTACATATAGCAAGTGAGAAGCAGACATGCAATTTTGGTTTTTGTATACATGAAGGTGTGTTTATTTCTTCCTGTTAGCCTAAGTTAGAGTATTTAGAGGGAGGGTTAAGCGGGGGGGAAGTAGAAGAGAGTACTAATATATATAGTTTCAAGAAAAGATTATAAAGCTGATGACTACTTGATAAAATGAGCTGATTTCAGAGAGGAATTTCATAGGAAATTAAAGAACAAGATGGAACCATACGTTTTAAATGTAAAATCATGAAGATGTAGTTTTACTAAGTGGGTTTCACTTAAAATTTGTCATTGGATAATCTATCAAATAAGAAAAGTCTAAAAAGCTGATAAGAACTTAAGCCCAAAACAGGTCTGAAAGAGATCTGCTCGCATGTGTGAAACTCAAGGTGAAGGTACTGTCTCTACAGACCAGGAATTCCTTCCGGAGCTACAGACAACATAACCTCTGCATTTAACAGGAAGTACATTGGTTCCAAATCTCTCTGCATCCGTCCTTGCAAGAGCTATTCATTGTGGAAGTATTGCAAGGGTCTGAGTTGGCACTGACTTTGGTCAACTCTACCCATATCCACTTAGTTAAAATTGCATGAAAATTGCATGAAAGCTTGATAAATGATCATATTGCAATCAACAGGTCTGCAGCAATGACCCAAATGAGACCCAAATTTAACCCATCAGATTTAGAGTAATACTGCAATGATATTATAAAGGCATTTTCAAAAAAAAAACCAAATCCAAACAGTTGTATGTTACGGATTATCTTTAGTACTAACAAAGTCATAATTTACCCATGCTTACCATAAAGTGTTACTATAGATACTACAGTTATTTCCTGTTCTAAGTATAGAGAAGTACTGTCATAGGTCAGATAAGGACTTTTAATAGCAGTTATTCCTAAGTAAAAGAGTTAGCTTAGAAAGTCCTTGCAAAAAAAAAGGTAAAACTGCATACAACTGTTACAGCCAGAAGGCAGCTAATATCTGTAAGTTCTTACAAAGCTTTTTGGATCTTGTGACTAAAATATTTGTAGAAATTATTTTTGCTGTCTTCTGTAATGCAAGATGGCATGTTACAAACAGTAACACAAAGAACCCCTATGGGTTACATTCAGTATTTAGTCGGGCATGACTGCAGTAACCCAGGAGGGACTCGTGTCTTGCACAGAACTGGCTCCTGCAGCAAGCACTACTCTCTCCTCACTCCTTCACAGTAAAGGTGGGGTGGTGGTCCTGGACCCAAAGGGGAAAGGGCTGAGAGACATCTCTCCCAGAAAATCAAAGGTGTTCCACTTTGGGTCTTGACAGTTGTTGCTAGAGTACTGTGAAAAAGGATCCAAAGGCAACCACATCCCAACAGCTGCTCATACCTGAATCCATTGTTTTTTTTTTTTCCTGCCAGGAACAATGCCAGCTGTTAGAAACCAAGTACAATCTGTGGGTCTGGCCTAGCCATCTACGTTAACTTTGGATCCAGTTTCTGATCCGGCCACCCTGGAAGGACTTTGTTATGGGGTAAGAGCAAATTGCAAGCGGCAATGTGGGAATGTGCGCTGTGAAGGAAAGCAATACACCCACAGATTTACAAAGCTTAACAGACAAATACTGTTATAAAAAAGATAACCTTTCTCAGAAAAAAAAAATCCCCAACTAAAACCACAGTTTGTATACGAGGCTGATAAATATTCTGAAATGTTACAATAAATAGCACACAGTTGTGAAAACAGTAAATGGTTGTATTTCTCACACCGCAGTACAGCAATAGAAAATACTAACTTCTTAAATCACAACCTGCTATGTGCCACAGCAGGAAACAAGTGGCCAGCTAACCTGCCTGTTAGATACACACTGAGAAAGTAGTTACATTACAATCGAGGAAAGAGCACCTATTGTACAGATGATATATATTTCTCATATAAGTAATCTTAATAAGTAGTAACTCTGAGTTTTAGCACCTATCAGTTAATAGCATTACTATTGTGTTAAGATAACTTTTCTCTCAAAACTGCCATTTCAAATAAGGTAGACCTGAACTTGCTGAAATTCTACTGGTGCCATCACTTTTGCAGTGACTTGCCACGAGCTCTGTTTGGAGGTTATCCTTTCAGATCTACCTTTCACTTCTTTCTCACTTCTTTGAGGAAAGCTGCTGGTTTTTAAATGGAACGTTTTCATCTCGAAGATTCTATTAATACATAACTTAAACCTGGACATTTACTGGGGGCGATTCAAGTGAAACTGATCCACTTCAACGATCGGAACATTTCTAACGATAAGTAGATGGCTCTGTAACATTGTTTTGTGTAGAAAAGTTGTTACTCATATAGGAGTGCTGAATGGTATTTTCAATTTGCATTACACAAATTAAAGCCATCAGCACTAGCAGTGAAACCAATCAACTAGTATGTCCTGTACATGATTGCTCACGGTCTTGGACAAGGGTTTCCAGATAGCAAATATGTGAATGGAATAGCTACAGAACACACAGCACTACTTCCTGTATGGACAGCTGGAGTTCTTACTAGTCTTAGGCTCACTAAAAATGTAATGTGAGTTTCAAAATGGAAATCTAAGGCACACAAAATACCATAGTGATTTGATGTATACTGTATATTACGTAGTCAAGAAGCATAAAACTGCTGGTACAAAATGATGGTGTAATATTGTTTTTGTCTTATTATTATTTACAATCCCTTCATATCCTCTATTTGAACTAATATTAAGCTCTGAACTAAGATTTTGCAGCATACCCGGTTTTTACAAATTTTGCTTAAGATGCAAAGAATGGGTTCAATTCAGCCATCATCTGCCATCAGTATTTTTGCTGACTTCGACAGGAATCTGTGCAATTGAACCCCAGGTCATTATATAGTGATTGCTACTTCAGACCTTGCTCCTGCAAACACGACATGTGTATACATTTGTACAGGAGAACAGTCTCAATGATCTACAGCCGTATTTACGTATTTGTATCACCAAGGTCCTAACTGGCACTATATGTTAAAAACACCATTTAAGTACTTTTCGTACCAAAACTGTAAACACTCCATTTACAGCTCAACTTTTCAAGGAAAAAGCACCTTGTCTAGATTTTAAATAAAGGAGACCTAGAAAATTCATGTTCCTCTGTTACAGCACCACTACAGTATAACAATATCAAGTATATTATTAGTATACCTTCACACGGGAGAACTCTAACCTCGTTAAGCCCTGGGTTTACCCGGCTGGGAGGACTCTGAGGCAGACTTAAGGTACAGCTTTGTCTCTGGGCCCTGATCCTGCAGCTCTCAGCCCGGAGAGGAGGCCTGGCTTGAGCAGCGCTCCTCGCTCGGACTGGCAGGTACGGCTACGTGGAACTGTTCTCGTGGAGGAAGCTGCAGGATGAGGTCAGTCCTTAGCTAACATTGTCATTTGGTAATTTGTTTAAATAAATAAGTTTTAAAAGGAAATACATAGGAGAGGAGAATCAGAAAGAAGAGTGGGATGCTACAGCATTTAAAAGCAATGGAGTGCCTGTTTTCTCTCTGGTTTGGCAAATACTGGTTTCATGATATGACACTTTTCCAAGAGAACCGGAAAACAAAATTTGTATGCTTGGAAGGAAGAATACAACCTTTTCTACTCAGAATGTATAAATCACTTAACAATTTACAAAACGTTTTTGTAAAAAACCTGAACTTAGCTGGTGAACACTGCAGATGGGTTTTCTCAATGAAAAATTTGCTGTTAAATATTAGAAATGTTATTCTTTTTCAACGCTTCCTTTATATTTTCCTCAAATTAATATATATATTTTTTCAGAATAGAATAAGGCAACTCTAGGGGGTATTCTTTATCCCAAAACAATTCTACCCCTGAGGTCTTAGGAACATTTGGTTGTCACGTTAACTTATAATGCTCCAAATGAATGAGACTTATGCACTTATTGCTCAAAGAAATCGTAACAAATGCTGCCTTTAAAAAAACAAAAATCGTAACTCCTCAATAGCAACACACGTATTGATGTCTCCTAATTTCATGTTTGCACACTCTCTTTCAAACAATAAAATGTTTCTGCACTTTATAAGTTGTTTATATGTAATAAAATCTTCCACAAAAAAGGGCAAGTCTAAAAACAATCACATACTATTAGCATACATACTGCAGCTGTAACAATATGGAACTCTACACAGCAAGAATAAAATGATTTCTTCTGTAGAGTATGCACAAACCTTAGACAATATGATCCTTATACTATACTATTTCAAGTTAATTTTAAAAATAGAAAGTGCTTTTAAAATATATATTTACAGCTTAAAAACAACTTCCAGCCATCTTTGCCAATAACTTCATTTTATGTGGAAGGACAAATCTAGAGAAAAAGAATCATTGGTTTTCTAAAAGATTTCTCTGCAATTTGTACTACATAGCAATGGTTGGAAGTTGTTAAAGCAATGGCACCATGAAGTAATAATTCAGCTTATTTATTTTAACTGTTTGATGTGGTTAAGCACCAAGAGCTGTGTAGAGCTATTACTGTATAACTTGATTTAACACCATAAAATGTGAACCTGTTAAAATCCCTATAAATGATTTTTGTAGTAAACAGACTTGATTTAAAGCACCAAAATATAAATTCCTAAAGGTAATAAACTGAATGATTTCAATCAAGGTTAATAACCTAAACAAAATCTTTTTTTTAGAATGTATTAAAACTATACAACTTTTTTTTTTTTTTTTTTTTTTTTTTTTTCTTAAAATGTGCTTGAGCACCACCAAATGTTGAAGTCACAGTTTAAGAAGAAATCCCCTCCTTTTTTTTTATTTTTTTACCTCAGCCTTAAAATGGTTGAGATGAGCAAATAGTAAACGACACAAGACTTGTTCTTTAACAGCACCTTAAAGAAACACTGCGTAACGCTGCACCAAGAGGAGGCATTTGATACTAAAGCCTATGCCCAATGGTTGTAAGGCCCTGCAACTCTGGTAAGGGCATAAGAAGATACTGTTATTACGTTATCTTTAGTTACTGTTAATGCTCTGCGTGATGGAATTTGGTTGAACTCGTTGTCTTCATAAAAAATCTCTCTGTTTTCACTTGTTTGCTTTGTTTTCCTGCTGCTGGAGTTCAGTTCGGTATTCTCTGTTCCTAATCTCTCTGCTTCTTTTTCTTTTTCTTTCGCCCTCTCAGCCATCTTTGCTTCCCACATGGCTAAACCATGTTTTGGCTCATTTAAATTTTTGTGTTGGTAGAAAACTAAGGAGATCCGCGTGGGATGATTGCGGTTGGGCTTTTTAATAGGTGTGGTAGCGTGGAGTTCACGTCGCGCACATTCGATTAGGATAGAACCATGAGAAGGTGCCACAGCTACGCCGCCGATGTCATCATCCAAAAAATTGTGCTCGCTGTCTGACCACATTTCCTCGGCTTTTTCTTCAGAATCAGTCGGTTGTCCCAGGGCACTGTTCTGCTTTTCGTCAATGCAGTCAAAATCACACATCTGCTCTCGATGGGAGCCACCCTTCTCCACCGGGCACCTGTGGGAACAGTCAGCTTCATTTCCAACTGCGTCCTTTGCTGGAGAGCTTAACGGTACTGACAGATCGCAAGAGCCGATCATCTGTGAAGAAGGAGAACTGTCTGACTGAGGCTGACAATTCTGCTTGTCTGGCTGATGTTCAAGTATACTGGGCGGGGGATCTTTGTGGGCTGGGGGGCCTGGAGCAGTGACCTCTGGAAGAATTGGCGGCACACCGTTCATCTTATCATTCAGCAAAATTCCAGTATAATCTTTGACAGACACATCAAAGTTCTTACAATTAATATAAGGTGTCACGTGAGGTTGCTTACTACTGCATTCAAAATACCCGTAGGGAACTGAAAAATCTTGTTGAATATTAGTCACTGCTGCTATGCCAGGCTTATGTGCTAACGATGAATAAGGATGTAAACTATCCACCTTAAAAGGGGAGGAAGCCGTATATTGTTTTAATAAGGAGCAATTTTTAGTAGTGTTTGAAGTATGTTTCATGGCACAGAGGTGATCAGAAGTCTCCGTTTTTATCCCAGGTTTTAAAGCATCTGCTTTGTTCCCTAAAAGAAATGCACACCAAAGTGTAAGTACTTTTCTTCGGTTAATCAAACATACCTTTGATGGTATTTTCATGCTTGCTACACATTTTTCTAAATGGTGATTTTTAACTTAAAACTACACACATAATTACCTTGCTGAATTACTCCCTTAACCTTTTCCAGCCAGACTGTTGGTATATAAAATAGAAAGGTATTTCACAGAGGGGTGGATAAAATAAACAGGTAAAATCAATTCAGTGCTCAGTTGCAGTTCACGCAGACGCCGCCCAGCAGCTGCTGCCTACCTTCAGCAATGCTCCCTCTTGCAGGCAGCAGTGCACAGAAGATTTTAGGTATCTGCTGTGGCTGCTGAAATGTATGTCTGAAACTAAGCCTGCAAAACAACAAAAATGATCGACCCCCAGCTTATTAGAGGAGAAAACATGTTTAACAGATCCTGTCCATCACAGAAAAGGAAGTTACTGAATGTACAGTTTGTGCATTAGCATCTAACTGCTTAGAATTAAAACATATCTGGCAACAAACTGCAGGTAAATTCAAACCGCAGTGTGTGATTTGCTCTGTCTTGCATCTAATTGGCAGACATTCATTATTTCAAATTTCTGGGGGGATCACTTATTCGGTTTACGTCAGCTCCCAGTTTCTAGTCCTCGGTCTCTGCAATTCTGCTCATTTGTGGAAGAGAATTGTGTCAAACAACTCATTCTGGTAATGAGTTTCAGCCAGAGTCCACAGAACAGTGGAAAACAGTTCCATGGACTGATGGGCTTTGCATCGCACCCTAAAAGCTGCATCACTGAGTTCTTCTACATTCTCATAAAGGACCGGTTCTGTCAGCGTTGTTTCTTTGTTCCATAAATACTCAATGTTTAACTGCTTTACCAAATATAGAAGAACTATTTTCTCTTCTACTAATTTATTAAAAGTGATGGATTAAAAAAATATTCTTTCAGTATTCTTTCAGGAATGAGGGAAAAAAGGGAAAGTGTTAGTATACAAGTTCTATAATCGAGGGCAACATGAGGAAACTGCATCAACTCTTTTTTTATGAAATCAAACTCAAAGCATTTCATTTAATTAAGAAACAAAACAAAACAAAACACATCCAGAACAATGCCTTCCTTCAAAAGACTTGAAATGCAGTGCTTGAGAATAGCACTGTCCATCATCTCTTTAGAGAGACCTTTGTTTTCTGAAAATATACTTCTAGCAAGCACTCAGGCAGCAAGTCCAGCAAACTCCTCATCGCCTGCCAGAAGCTCCTTGCTCTGCGGGTAAAGGGGCAGAGATTGAGGCAGCAGCACAGTTAGCGGAAGAGAGGAGGTGGGATCTGAGGCAACAGAGGCAGCAGTGTCTCAGGGGAAAAGACAATTTGGGGAGGTGCGTTTTGTTTCAATTGAAAACACAACTTAATTTCTAAATTGGATTGGGTTTTGTACTGGTTTAACTTTTAACTGAATGTGGAAAATGGTAATTCAAATGGTATCTTGCACTGCCACAAATCCTGTTGTGAAAAAGAATTTCCTACTGTTTCGCTGTTTTTACTTGCTTAGCAATATACTCCCACTAGCGACCCATCTGGGACACTGAAGCTACATTTAACAGCATCAGTTGGAATCAATATTCTCTACATAGGGAATATGCATATTAGAAAGATACAAAACTGTATTTATTTTGATAATATACAGAGAGCTATACATTCGTTTGGATGTAAGATCAAACCAAAGTCAGAGAATGTTTTGATTAGGAAGAAAATATTACAGGTGTTTAATAAACAGAAGTTAATTCAAACGTCTGGATAGAGGAAACAGTACAGGTTCAGCTCAGATGGCATCTCTCTCCAGAAACAGGATCTGCTGGCTAAAGTACTTCTCTGCTGTGGGCAGCTGAGCAGCTGGCTCCCCCGTTCTGTCCAACAAAGGCCAAGAAGAATTGCCAATATTTATGGAGACAAAAATAACATTGCCATCTTTAAAGTTTAGTCTTAAAGAATAACGTGGTTAATGATGGATAAAACAGGATGTATGGTTTTTATCTTTACTCTGTATTTTGTATCAGTTTAGGATTTTGAAAGCTCTCAGCATCAGCATAAACGTAAAAATTACAAGTTGCTCTGCTTGATATTGAGTGGAGTTCATGATATATGCACCCTACTGAACATACAGCATTTCTACAAAAGACTTGGCAGATCTTGGATCCAGACTACGTCTTCACATATGCATGCTCTACTCCCAGGCAGACCTAAGCTGGCTGCAGTGCCATAAAGGTCCTCCTCACTATCATCTTTGCTGCTAGGTAAAAACAGAAGATAATCCTGTCTTATCACTTCTCAATTTCCAGCTCTGTGTATAATGAAGACATGCAGGTTACAGGGATCTCTCTTTCCAGCTGAGAATACAGTACTGAATTTGAAATGATGGTTAAATGTCTTCCAAATACTACATGGATATTGGGCAATAGTAATGGACAATACCAAATAGCCAGCCTTGTGACTCCAAAATCCCCCCAGGCCAACACTAAAGAGTGTTGACTTCACATGGCCTAAAACACGAATGACAATGACTGCATGTACAACAGTTCTCATCTAACTGCATGTTTTCCATATCTTTTTCATTTAAAAAGCAAAACCAACACTCTAAAACTCTTGTACTCACCTGTAAACTGAGTAAGCACAGATACTGTTCATCATTACTTTTTTCCTTTCCAATACATGCATTCCTTTCTTCTCAAATTAGGACAAAATTTAGCAGCAGTATTTGACGTGCTTAAAGAAACTGTAAGCAGTACTCTGTTCACTGCTTACCTAAAACTACAGGCAGTAACCTTCCCCAATTTAGTTTTTCCGTACTTTCATTATTTCCTGAACTTTTTTTTTTTTTTTAATTTTTTTTTTTTTTTTTATGTTTATAAGGTATGACTAGAACTGATGCCCACTGCTCATATGGAGGGCTATTATACTATTAAAGAATTGTTTCCAGTTTGCCATCAGGAGTGACTACTGCTGCATAGTCTAATTTCAGCTCCTCCGTCTCATAGGCTGTTTGATTTGTTTTCATAATGAGCCTAATAATCTCTGCCAGACTCATTATTTCTCAGGACTAAAATGACACCTCCCACTGGCAGAATGGAAAGGATCAACCAAAGGACTGATCCCCTATTATAGCAAAAAGCTGTATGTGTAAGTTAATGCCATAATGCTCTAAATTCATAATTACAGATATTTACATTTTCAGCAAAAGGCAGAACAGAGATCTTTACAGTGAAATTCAGCCACTGCCCTGTACAGGAAGCACACACAGTGTGCATAAATGCTTTTGGTTATTAATCTTGGCTGTCTGCAGCTATATGTGCCATCTGCAGATTCGGGCTTACTGAGTTGACTTCTTTCTAGAGTCAGAAATAATGACGTAAACTGTGTGTTGCACTTACAGAATCTTCAGGGATTCCACTGTCACGATCTCCATGATAAAAGCTTTCATGATAGAAGCAAAATGTTATAATTCATATTCTGATTTTTCCATCTCTGAAAAGCCTTCTTGCTCCTTTGAGTATTTCTTCATCACTCTTATTATTATCAGCAGCCCCTTTAAATTACCTGAATATTTCAAGCCCAAACAAATTATGGAAGTTTACTTGCTTACGCAGTTATTCAATCATTTTTGTATGTTTAAGGGAAGAGAATCTTACATTCCCAAAGCATATAGCAAAACTCTGGACAGCATACCATTAACTCAAGGCATAGCTTTCAAATAAAGAAGTCATGCCTTAACTAGAGTCACATGCAGGTAGACAGTCGGTAGCTATTTCAGCGTTTCATAACAACTTTCCAGTGAGTCAAACAATCTCACAACTCCTTCAAAAGCCAGAGTCCTCTCATCCTTCCAAGACTTCCAGTCCACCCGGAGCACTCTGGAAGTTATTAATCACTGCACTGGAGTTGGATGATGTCCTCGGCCTGAGAAGAACCTTTGTATTTGTTTCAGAGCCTGGACTGCATCTCCCAGACTTGAAGCATGAAGATTAACTCAGTGTCTGTCTAATTTCCTAGGATTTAATTATGCCATCTTGCTCTATGCAAAACCTTATTTGTTGCCCTGATTCTGCCGAGAGAAACGTGTAATCAGGGTACAGAATACAAATTACAGACATGTCATTTAGACTGATTTTGTTTGCAATTTTTTTCCTAGAAAGTGTAGCTACTTTTCTAAATATATCTGATTATCATTCCTTACATTAAATCTATCACCACGTATCTCATGAATTAAAATTACAGCAGGTAGGCTAAGACTCCACTATACTTCCCCAAAGGTAGACAGCCTGTATTTTAATGCCATAGATTTGTTTCCTCTCTTGTAATCAGAGTTTACTCCGTGGTTTCCTTTCTTTTCTACTTTTCATTACTGAAAAAGTCCCACATAAGAATTTTGTTCTCCAAAATGCTGGTCCAAAATCTGACCTGAGGTACAGCAGCAACCACACAGTAACTGGTCAAGGAGCAGCTCTATGCTGCACATGCACATACGGCTTCAGAAGACTCTGTGGGCATAGTGACATTCCTGTGACACAGAATGCTAGGTGCAAAAAGCATCTAGCTCTCACCCTCCTGACAGTATTTCAAGGAAAAATGTGAAAAGCATTGTTTGATTTAACAAAAGTTTACTGTTGTGTTACTATTATTTTGGCAAGCGTCTTGCTCTGTGGCAGAATCTGTGTCACTGAAAGTATCAGAAGGAAATGCTCTTCAGCTCAGATTGTCAGAAAGCCATTGTCTTTCATACAAAGCAGACAGCAGTTCTTGTACTTTTAAATGATGGAATTTAATATCTGTTCTTTAGATAAACATTCCCAGAACAGTATTTCAAGATGCTTCTACTAGCATTATTTATCAGAATATGGGGTCTTCAAAACATTTCATTGGTTCATTATCATTACTCACGATTGCTAACACACCACCACAAACTTCACCTGCTTTTTCCCTTGCCTATAGAATATCAACTACAACTTGTTCATTAGCCCCTAAGATGCCCATTATGGAAGTATGTTGAAAAAAAAAACCAACAAAGAGTTACGAAGGAGCTTTTCCTTCCCCTGAGATGGCTGAGTCACAACACCGTATCGAAAGAAACCAGCTGAATTTGATGGGCAGCACTCACCTAAGCAATGCAAAGTGTTACTGAGATTTTCTGGCGCTTCAGTTTTCAGCTTTATGGGTGTTGAATATTTTTTATCCATTAATTGCTGCTTTTCACTTGGGGTCCTCCTCGTGTCGGGTTTCTTTTTCTTTGTAGCTCTCAGAGGCTCAGCTAACATCCGTACTTCTCTGGGAAACGCTGTGAGCACCTGTATGGCTCCGGCTTTTATCTTAGCTTCCAATCCCTCTTCAGTACCAAATTCATCTGTTTGTGAAATTTTGTATAGAGGTAACACATGGAGCTGCTCATCGCTTGGAATCACCCCGACTCTCCGGTTGTCCTCCTTTGTTAACGTACAGACCTGGCAAGAACGGCAACATTTACAAAAACAATCCGAATACTGAACTTATTTAAACGTTTATGCATTCAGCCTGGACTCCATTGTATTCTCATGTTTGGCAATCTCAGTGCCATAGGACTCTCAAGCAGAACCATCTGACAAGCACTGTTTGATTTATGATGGTGATGCAGAAAAATTACCCGTACCTGAAGATAAGGTGAAGGCATTGTGTCTTGAAGAGCAACAATGCAACTTCAATTCAGCTCACACTACCCACAAATATTTCCCAAACTCCATAAATAATCTGAGCTGTAAATACAGTGGGATTTTTTTTATATGTACTTGATGCTCAAAATCTTTTTTTACAAGTAAAGGGTATGAACACAAAAATATTTTTATTTCTACCAGGAGTTTCTATGATACAGCTTTAGTTGACAGATGAAGTTATCCATATTGCTGCTTATTTTGTTGTTTGTCTTTAAAACAAATCTAGCTCTAACTCTCTGTCTGTCTACATGCACACACGCTCGCCCCGCTCTGTCTGCTGTAACAAAGTCATGAGACCCGGCAGACGTTTGGTTTCTCTCAGGCCACTGACCTACTTTCTCTTATTAAATTATGTGTTGCTGTGGGATATGGGAGCCAAGAGGAAAATGCTGGCTAGATCCAATTTGATAAGAGCACAACAAAAATGTGAAGTAGTATCCAAACGCATTGCAACAATATTCTTATTAAAGTTTTTCCAAGTCACTGATGAACCTTTTCAGTACTTTACCATTTTCAGCTCTTCTAGAGTTGCAGTTATTAGTATTAAATCTTCACCTTAAAAACAAATGCTTTTTCTTTTTTTTCTAGTGACAAAAACAAAAAACCAACCAACTGCCAAAAAAATCCCCTTCTTAAAAACAGAAGAGCAGACCACCTTCACATGGCTTCACTCTGTGCTTTCCAGGGGATGGCCTTTGGAAGCAAGTGTCCATATAATCATCATTAATAATTTCATTCATCAAATTCGCAAGACAACGCTGCTTTTCCACAACGTACTGCATTACTAGAAAGCCATGCATTCATATCACGGCGTGGTTAATCTTCTATTTCATGGGGAGTCACTGACTACACACACAAAGGAATCTGAGCACCATCCAAGGATGAGATGATCCTCCTCCTAAATGGAGGCATTCTCATCCGCCATTGCGTAGGTTGAATGTACTGCATATCACCAGTTAATTCAACTTTCCCAAATCTTGCCACCATGCCTAACGTTACAGGAGAAAATAATAATATAATTTAGGAAAAAACAAATGTTTTATATAGCACAGCTTTCACATAAAAGCATCACAGATTTATTTCCACAATAGAATTACAGAATCACAAACTAAAAATCCTAAATAAATGAAGTGGTTGTTAGGGCTTTAGAAATAGCTATATGCAAAGCTTAACAGTCGCAGAGCAGCAAAAGGAGAAAATCTGAGGGGCACAGACAAAGGAGAAGAGCTTTTCAGGTGGCATTTAAAAGGACTGAGAGAGGGGCTCTTAAGAAGGCAAGGTGAAAGGGCAATTAGAAGCCGATGAGTAGCATTTACTGATGTGCTTGCTCCATGCGCACTTACCTCTACTGCACAGCCTTTGGACTACAAGGAAGATTTAGAAAAAACAGGTTGTTCCATGAGCAGCAAATGACACCTGGTTTCCTATGGACTTCTTTGTCTCCACACTCCCACACACCCCATCCCAGCACCGTTATCTCTGCCCCTTCCGCACCTCGCTGCCACCTCACTGCCCCAGCCAACAGCAATCAGGCCCTGCTGGCACTCTGTGCCTCCTGGCTACAGGCCAGGATAACCCCAGGCTCTCACCCACTCAGCAGTGGGCTCTCACAACGCAAAGCGTGGAAGAAGAGGCTGAAGTCTCCAAGGCAAGATTCTGCAGAATTCAGTGAAATTTGGTTGAAACTTGCCATCAGATTCAAAATTATCAAGGAAGGGGAGAAAGGGTGAGATCTACAGAGAGCACAACTGCATACGGCTCAGCGCATCCTCCACTCCCAAACTGAAAACAAAAACGAAGTTTGCATGAAAGCCATTTAACTTCCATTTGTTCTTATTCAAAACTGCCTGATTCTCACTTGTTAAAAATTCTGCCCATCCTGTGTCTGTACTCATATGCTGGTCTGAAAAATGTCTAAATCTTAGATTCAAATCCACACAGTCTTGTTCATTTTGAAAATCAAGGCCCTCACCCAACTTACAGTCTGCATTTTCACACATTTCACCAGATATATTGATGGAAATCTTATCTTGTACAGTTATTAGATTTATTCTTTCTCATAAAGAGATTTTTTTCTTAAAAATGTATTACTTTTAATCTGATTTGTTAAGAGGCAATGGTAGATGAAATGCACATTTTTGCAGTGCTTGATTTGGGGAAGGCATGTAAGCAGAGAGGAAAATCTAAGCTCCCAGTTGGTAAAAGAGCTTCCTGTAGGTAGAAATGAGTTATTGGTCAATTTCAATCACAAGGAACAAGAAGGAAGCCAAAGAACTCCTGAGGAATTAGAGAAGATAAGGGCTGTACTATCTTGGCAGGACTATGAAGAGGTGACAGGCACCTCCAACATGCAATATATTAATTACAGAATGAAAAAAATGAAATTAATGTATATTAAAAATCATGCAGAAAAAAAATTGAATGTTAGTACACCTAAAGCCTAAAAACCGTAAAAGAAAACTTAATGCACGTAATTTTTCAGGGTCACTGTCTCTTACAATGTATTTTATTATGAAAAGAAGAACATAACTGCAAGAGGATAGCCCAAAACTTCATGTTACCAGGAGACAAGTTACAAATTCAGGCCCCTACAGATGACTTGGCAATTTACAGCTGAAGCAATCCACCAAATGTGAAACACCCGTTTCAAAAGCCACTCTAATACTGAAATTTGTGCAAAATCTTCACTAAGAAGCAATTGTTGTGAAGTTAAAAGCAACATTTTCCATTGGTGTTGACAGCGCGTGCAAACTGCCCAATACTAAAACCAACCACAAGAGAATCATGGACTCAGTCAAACCTCACTTACACAGTGAAGCTGCATGTCCTGCTAGGCTCAATACTTCTTCCAGAATGTGCAGCTAAATCATCCAGGCTGCTCAAAAGCCAAAGAAAATGTTGGTCAGGTAGTTTGTTGATGTTTCCAGAGCGCCTGGTGATCAAATCCAGGCCTAACGCTGGGGTTTGTGATGTCATGGAAAAACCTGCATATTCATGAGACTTTTTTTCCCCACTGAAATGCACCCATGAACTCCAAGAAATTTCCTACACATCTGTAGCCATGAAACTCTGAATGCATAATTCTGAGCCTCTTTGATCTGCCTTCGGCCTCTTGAACTTCACATGCAGAAATGATGTAGCCTTTTCCACTGTGTCGTAAGAACAGATGTTTTAAATTCAAGATGTAGGAAAAGCAGTCAAACGGCACTTGTAACCATGAAAGATGAAAATCAGATTTCCCATACTCATCTCCCCTGTGCAGATGGAAAGGAGAGGGGATGCCACTCGGGACTCTGAGATGATGTGCGGTCACTGCTCATCATCACAAACACAAACAGATTTGCTTTCTTTTCTGTTGCAGCTGAAAAACCACCATTTTATTGGCTTGTTATAGCCTGAATAAGCCTGTGTAAACCCCAGAGTCATCAAAGAGAACGCCAGACATTTCTCCCTTGGACCACCTGACCCTAAGCTAACAGCAGCTGCTGGCTACACACACATCGGATGGCACTGCCATGCTGTGTGCTGCAACATGACGTGGTGCACTACCTGCTGTCTGGGAGCTCACAGATTACTGGAGAGAAATTCTAGCATTTCTCCATTTTCACAGTACAGAGAGCAAAAAAATCCTTCCCTTAAAGCGTTGTGGTTTACCCTTTCCCTGATCAGTTATCATCTGACCCACCAGCTGAAGGATCTAAGCACATGTGTAGCTCAGAAAGCAGCATGGACACGATCCAACAGGCAGCCGTTAACCAACGCCAGACACATTCTGTCACTACTGCAAAGGCCTGGACCTACATGCAGTGATAACTTGATGAACTGTAAATACAGAAATACAGTAACTCACTGCAGGAGCAGAGAATCTTCTTAAAAATATAACAGAGAAAAAACAGAAGAGGAAGGTTGTGGGCAATTGCTTATTGACACTAACTACATGGTTCTGCTGCCAGTAGCAAATGCTATAAGGTAGCAGCCCACAAAGCATGGATTTCTCTTTTCTCCTTCCTTCTTCCACATTGCATGCTATGACCATGTGGCACCAATGTCTACACAGAATTGCAGCTGTTCCCTGCCTTCCTCCAGGTCCCACATGGTGAGAGAGAGCCATACATGGTACCATGAGCAAAGCCTTCATTAAGCATTTTGTTCTCGCTGTGAAACCTCCTATTTCTGTGACTTACATGGATTTGCACAAATATTAAGAATATAATCCTTAGCAGCTAAGCCATTAAAAACATGCATTTCACAGAATCCGTTATCAATTACAAAGCCTTTATTTTTGGGTTGCTCATTTACAGTCTATAAGCAACCCTGTATCCTAGCACTGCATTGTAACATCTATGGCCCTTAGGACAACCCTAAAAGATGACAAAAAGTCATTGATGGTGTGTTTACTGACTTCATGGTTTGTCAAAAATTCAATTCATAGGCAGAGATTGCTTTTGCTTCTTTCAGATAAACACAGCAGTTTACACCTCTGTAGAAATACCCAATGTTTTCGTTCTACTACAGAGACAAACAAGAAATACCCATTTTTGTCTTTAGCTTTTCTTCCGGAATGCAGTTCTGCACAGTGCAGGCTATGCTTCTGTTAGCCAGGAAAGGTTTTCAGCAAGTCAAATTCCTGCAGTAACCTCAATTTTTCTAAGTTAAAATGCATTACTCTACCTTGTATCTACAAAAGACATTTCCAAGATTTTTTTTCCTCCACTGCTAGCAAAAAGAAGAATCATTTCTTTTCAAATCACATGCAAATAATTCAGCTGATCATCAAAACTTTTATACCTGGAATAACATAAGAATGCTTTTCTGAATGCTTTTTCTGCGTTTCTGGCAGAGACAGAGAGGGGAAATTCTTCTTAGCAGCTGATTAGATATGATATTCTTTAAATAAACAGCAAACTCCGTGCTGGTCATTGAGCTCACTCCAGTGCTTTGCACGTCCGTGTCTGACTTAAACCATTTCAATATATTCAGTTTTTCCTTTACTTTTGGTGCACTGAGCAGTATTCCCTTCATATTTGTGGTGAAAGTGATTCACCAACAACTGAAAGGAGAAATGAAAACGTGTCACTTATGCCATCACTACTGGTAATAGAGCTGGCAGCATTTTACACACACCATCCGGTGAGGTATTTATTTCAACTGTTTTAGTTTAGAGGAGCTTTGGGTTTTATAAATGAAGATTTTGTGCCTGAATAAGAAGGGCAGCAATCTTACCAACACTAATGAGGTGCAAGATGACAAGTGTGCTTTGTACAAATTTTAAAATTGCAAGGTGCAGTTACATATATATATGTACTTAAATCAAATAAAAGAAATACAGGAGAAAAACAGTAAGTAAACTTTGTTTGAGGGTGAAAAAGCAGGAAAAAATATTCTGTTTATTGGCACATTATTAGAAAACAATTAGAAAATTATTAGAAAACATCCATAAGAACTCTAGCAGTCACCTCAGTAAGGTGCAATGCTCCATACTACATTTTGCACACAAAATACGTCACAGTTAAGATGCAAATGGTTCCATCATTACCTCTGGTGGCCTATAAGAAATGGAGATTTATTTGAGACTAAATAGGGAATTGGAGTAACTGCTGGAGTTAGATGGGAATGTAGGAGGTGATTGGACAGCTGTTAAAATCACACATGGTAATTTTGATGTGCTTACCATCATTTTTCCTATTTGTTTACCAGATCTGGTCACGAGCCAAAATCAACAATCCTAATTTTGATGATCAACAATCTGACATAAATTGAAGAAAGCCCAGCATATCACAGAATCCTAGAACCATTAAAGGTTGGAAGGAACCCTTGAAGGCCATCTGGTCCAACTCCCCTGCAATGAGCAGGAACACCTACAGCTCCATCAGGAGCTCAGAGCTCTGTCACCTTGGGGGTCTGCAGGGATGGGGCACCACCATCCCTCTGGGCAGCCTGTGCCAATCCACTCTTACTGCAAAAAACTTCTTCCCTATATATTTAATCTAAATCTCTCAGTCTGAAACCCCTCTTTAAAAACCATTTCCCCTTGTCCTATCAACAGACTCTGCTCAAGAGTCTGTCCCCTTCTTTCCTATCCTAATGCCCTGTCACCTTGTCTGCAAAACAACAAAATTATTCATTTGCCTTAGCCTTCCATATGCATCACTGTAACTGTATATCTAGATACACTAATAGAAAACAGCCTATACATGCTATGAATCACAGTCCCATCTTACTGTGGAGGCTGTATGAAGATCATCAGGTTACTCTGCACGCCACCTTCTTGCCAAAAACCCCTGACTTTGTTACGTAAATTCAGTGTTAACATTTGCAACCATCCCTATTTACATATAGCCCGTTATCTCAAGTATATTAAAATCCATAGATAACAAACCTAAACAGAGAGAGTAGGAAATGTACAACAGTTATTTGTATGAGTGAGATATCTGATGAAGATCACAATTCAAGGTGCAATTCTCAGCAGTTAAGTCAATTTTTTTTAGTGTTCTGCAACATTTAGAAGTGGACCTGAAGAAAACAGGGATGAGTTCTGGCCTACGTAATGAGATACCTTACAGAGGCCACCATTTTCCATGCCTCTTAGATGTGGAATTACTAGCAAGCAAAGCAAATACAATCCACAGAAAGAAATACCAAGCATAATCTGCAGGTGAAATAACATCAGATCATTGTAGATAAATACAGTCATAGAAATGAAATGGAAAACAAACAAAAACCAACAAGGAACAACACAAACCACCCCAGATCTAATCATCCCTCCAGGCATTTCTGGCCATACATTATAACTCTCCCAAGAGGATAACTGTTTTCTTTCTCGGTTCCAATATTGTTGAATGAGCAGCAAGCTCAGTTTCCATTTTGTCCTCATACTAACACACAACACAGCACTTAAAATAATATTTTTAGGAATGCCCAAATTACATTTAATTAGAAACTACGCCTTGCACTTTGTCATGAAAAGAAAGTCTCATTTTCAAATCTGGGACCTTTAAAAGGTCTGCATTACTAAGCTTCAGCAGCTCTGAAGTGACTGTCCTTGCATGAGCTTGTTTGCAGCAGCTTACCAATATTTTGCAAAGTCTGCTTTCAGCAGTTTCTTATTAAATACCTGCAGATAAGTGACATTCAGTGTTAGGAAAAAAATAGTAGTCTATTCAGGACTGGCATTCCTGGTGAATACTGAGATCTGCTTCCATGCTTCAAACTAACAGGCGTTTACCCAGCAAACAACTAGAGCTTTAACATGAACAATCCTTCCAGTCAGTTCACTGACTGTACATAAAAATGCTGTTAAGCGTATGCCTAAACGCAATGCTGTTTTGAATCACAGCAACATCATAACTGAATTTCCATTTTTGTATGTTTCCAAAAGGGCAGAGATTTTAGATATATTTCTTCTTTCTGTATGTGCACCCTTTGGTATTCTCGATTGTCACCTCCACTGACGCACAAGAAGTTATCATGAAATGTTTTCAATATTCTAACTATTAAACCCACATAGTTACACAGACATGGTTGGTTTTATTTCATCTTGCTTGCTTTTGAGCTTGTCTCTCTTCACCACTATGGTCTCAGATCTAAAAGATCACTTAATTGAGTGATTAATTTTCTCACTAGCAAACTAGCTAGGTATTTGGTACATATCAACATCAAACCAAAACAGAAATAACCCACACCTGTGAGTTTTCCTTTCCTAATAAGATGATCAGATTTAATTTTAAGGATTATAACAGATACCTGACTCCACTACCTACTCCATTACATTGTTCATTTGTATTTTCTCACTTGTAACTACCAACAGTGGGGTCTGCTAAGTACACAGTGCAGCTAAAAAGTGAATTTTAAAAGTATTCAGGCTGATGGAAGTAAATTAATAATTAGTTTGCTTAAGTTCTTCTGCAGACAACTCCCTGGATAGCTTGTTATTTGCCTTTGAACATCAAGCCTTTACTCTGAATAACATGAATAACTTATCTGTCCCATGGACGATCCTGTCCAAAAGCCTTGGGTGTCCTCAAAGAATTATGGTATTTTTTAAAGAAAGATCACTCACATAGCTTTGCTTTATAACAAAATGGAATTATGCCCTCTGTAGATTTATAATAAATAGATGCAAATAGCATGGGAATTTATAAATGACAACGTGCAATTCATTTTATAATGCCTTAAAAAAACTTTGTGCAAATGTACCCACTAAATCAAGCAACATTTTAGAACATACAGTAATCACAAGGGTAAGCAGTACAAAAGAGAAAAAATCCTATGTACGTACCACAGTGCTTCCATTGTGCATGTTATGTGTGTCCTTATGGGCATGGGCACAAAAATCTATGCAAGCTGTGACACCAGAGAAAGGCCTACCGTCCTTGGATCCGAGCCGACAGTCTGGGCCCATGTGTTCATTTTCCACCTAAAAATAAAATAAACTACAGGTACTTAGGACTGAAAGTGCGTGACTTAAAACGCTGTTATCCGCAAATGCACTTATGGCTGAATAAATACAGCCAGGAAGAATAATGAGAAAGCATGTATTTTCCCTTGAAACATTCAATACTTACTACTGTTGTCAACAAGACAATCAGCTCCACCAGAATCAAAACATCTCTCTCTCTCTCTCTTTCTCTCTCTCTCTCTATTTTTTTTTTTTTACAATGTTATTGGTATGACTTTTACAAATGCACAGCTCAGGGCATAACTTAATCACTAGCTGAAACAGAAAAGATACATTATTCTAGAACTAACCATGCAAAGTACTGGCTGCAGGTAAGCAGTGGGATTCATCACATCGGAGATCTGCCGCTTCTACCCGTTAGCACACTTTGGAGTCTCATCTTTTCCAGCAATACTGCCTGTTTAGAGGTGCAGCTACACTGACTGAAGATCAGACCTACCTGGTTCTGGAAAGCTTCAGGAGCAAGCTTTTTATAAACCGGAGCCACATCAGTAGCTAAAGTTTGCAAATTATGTTCAAGAAGTTCCTCCTGCAGGGAAAGACGATGCTTAGAGAGCTGCAATTTACTTCAGAAGAATTTAGAAGAATCCAGTTTAGAGATGTCTGACCCGAGTCAGCAAAGCTAATAATGTCCACCTCTATCTTATTTTATTAATAAGACTTCTATGCCTCAGTCTTTTGTCACTGGACATAAGCCTATTCTTGCACAACTAAATTACCCAGTGATCATTATAAGTCAGGAAAATAGCAACAGAGGACGTGCTGTAGGACAGAGAAACCCAATATGCAAGGAAGTGTTTTTCATGTCACTTCTTCCTGCTCATATGCAGACAATCAAGGAAAGGGATCTATTCCACAGAAAATAGAGAAATACTGAAAAACTAGATTACATTCTGTGTGGATATGGAAACCCATACCTTCTTAAAGCGTTTTGTTCATGAGGCCTTTATTTCTGTTGATAAATTTCTGCTATAGAAACACCTACTAGAACTGAAAGTAGTATTCAGCTCCTTGGGAGAAGCCCTTATATATACAGAACTAGCTATATAGCAACGTCACACTTAAGCTCTTATTTAGAGAAACACAATTCCTAAACTCCTGCTTTTCTGGGAAAAACACCAACCAGCTGTGAAAGAAAAGGCAGCAGGCTGAATCCAGGGTGACGTACTCCCTCTACTTTGTTTTCCTGCAAGGAGCAGGCTTTTGGGGACACCTCCAGCTTCAGTTTTGCACACTGTGTAGTGGTAAAATATGGGCTCATAGAATCCACAAAGTTGGAAGGGACATTTAAAGGTCACTCGGTCTATAACAGCTTACTATAATAGCATATAGTCTAGAACAGCTTACTTTTATTTTGTTACACAAAAACAGCTAGTCATCATATATTATATATTTTATATACTTAAGTGTTTACAAGATTATTTTCACATTTTTCAATTACAAAATGATACTGTGCTTTTAATTTGCATGATAGCAGGTTTATTAACTGCTGATTGCTACCACATGTACTTCTGAGCCTTGCTGAAGGTAATGTGTCCTTAATTATCTACTACTATTCTTACCTAGGTAAATTACACCCTTAACCTCATCTCCCTCCATCCAGTGCCTCAAATGATCAAATGATCCAAATCCTTCAGGATACCAAACTAACTTCTCTTCTATTTGCTGTACCTCTTAGCTTTGTGTCATCTGCAAAATCATCAATCTCCAGTTAGCTGCTAAGAAAATTAATGACAAAACTGAACAAAGAGAAAAATTATTTACCAGCAATTTCAGTTCTTTGAGACATTGTGACAATCTGCACGCCGCAGGCACCCAGAGCTGAGGCTTTTGCATAGCAGTAGCCTGAAGGTGCATGCGCTGCCCGCACAGGAAAACACCACGAGTCCTTGTGTGCTCTGCAAGGACTCATGCTTTCTGCTGCAGAAGCTAAGGAGTTTTTAAATCTCACTGGAAAAGGGGAAATGAGAGAATGCACTTCTAGATCACACATCTAGAACACGTCCCACTACTGGTTAAAGTAACCTCTTTCAGCCAACTGATGATATACTGTCATAGAAAGTATTATCCTCCAAAAATCATCCGGTTACCTGCCAAGTGAACAGGCAATGCAAAACAGCTCCCATTGGTGGGGCACCATTTCTAGATGCTACTGTGAATGCTGCTATACTTAGCCAAGTGTCTGAATGCAGCTCTGCAGCTCGAGGTGGCAACTTCATGGACACAGAGGAAGCAATGCCAGCTGAGCCTGCAGCCTTGTGCAGTGCATTCTGATCAAAGAGAAATCTATTTGAGCTGTCCTTTAGGAGATCTGGATGCAGACTAAAATTTCATTAGACAGCACATACGAAGACTTTGTTGATCCCCAAGATACCGTTATTAAAAGCATTACAAATTTACACACACAGAATGCTCCAAACACAACAATAAGCAGGAAGGAAACCTAAAACGTAGAAAATGGAAAGGGACAAAGGAGAAGGGGAACAAGAATATCTAATAAACACATCTTTCTGTAAAATGGAACTTTATTACCCTTAAGGCATTTGAGACAAGTGGAGATATTTTCAGCTTGTACTGCCTTAAGTCAGGTATTCACCAAGAAAAAGGAGAGACATGTGGTGTGTGCCCTAATCTGTTTAGGCAGAAGCCCCATCAGCATTCTTGGCTAATGAAGTTTGTAAATACTCATGATGTAAGTGGACAGCACAACTCAGAGGAGACTGAGGGGTTTACATTCATGCACATAAGCATAAAAGATGCTTAATCAATTCTTTTACGAAAAAAAGTTAAAATTTTCAAGGAATATTTAGCTCCAGTGAACGAACTGACATCTCTCTTCCAAAAAACACCATATTTCTTTACATGTGTACACTAAACATTATAAATACCAAAATACTTCTACTACTACCTGGCCTTCAATCAGCAAGGTCTTCTCTGTATCTGGCAGCAGTAGAGTTCAGGAGCTGACAAAGAAATTCTCCCAGAAGGAGAAGTAGGCAACAGATTGCTATATACTACATGCCTCTTCAAGCATGTCAGATGTGCTAGGAAATACCTAATTCTTTCATCTGGGAGGTCAACAGGGCAATGAGGTTAGATTGATCCACAGCCAGAAAAAAAGGGACCTTTGAGATACCCTGAAGAATCTTTCTGCTCTGTGTTCATCAGGCAGTGGTTATCCATTTACACCACCATTGTTCCTTCATCATGAGACAAGTAATTCTTTTAAGAGGTGCATTACTTTTCATCGTATCCATTGTCTTATTTTCTGTGTTGAACTTTATGTCATTACTAATGTTCATGATCTGCAATTAGAGCATCACTTGGATGCATCATATTTTATTGTAATTCTCAAGAAACATGTTGTCCAAGAAAAATCCAGTTTATTCTGGATGTCAGATAAAGGATCAGGTTGCTACAGTTCCAAACATTTGATCAGATGCCTGTGTGATAAGCTATACAGACATGTGTGAGAGAGCATCGGTATCTGTGGATGGTTTCTAGTTCTTAAAATCATCTGAATAAATACTTGAAGGCAAACAGAACAAAACAATAAAATAAATCTTACTTGTTTAGGGTCATCAGTGAGAAGCCTAAACTTCCTGGGGTTTTTACTTCTGGCAAATTTACATCCATTGAAATACATGCTCCATGAACAGCCAAATGAGAATGATGCTCCACACGTTTCTGGATCAAGTCCCTGACATGCACACGTACGGCTGTGAAAGGAGATAAAGACAAGTCAGTTGATGATGCCTTTTTCTTAACGGTCAATGCTATTTGCTTTTTCTTTTTTAAATACATAACAAAACAATGCAGGAATTTACAAATTTGTAGTTTAATGATGTATTTTCTGTTAATGAAATATTCATTAACAGAATGAACTTTCAGAGGACTTTCTTTCCCTTATAGACAGTTCCAACTCTCTGAAGTCTCACAAGTTCCGCTCTCAGGAAATACATAACATTGAGTTATAGCTACCTAAATATACTCCCATGCTTTTTTGATTTTGACATCTCAAAGTACAAGAAGTACAAAATAGTACCACTCCTATTGAAGGTTGCCTGTAAATACAGTAAAATGTTACATGAGGCAATACCATTATCTCCAAATTGATCCAATGTTTAAAACAGAACAACTCACTTACCCTGGCCATTTAAGAACAGAAGCATTAGACCTAGATCACTGCACAGCTATTAGGGAAGGCAGCACGCCCTCCTCTCACAACTGGCCAGCCTGGCTCACAGGTGTGGTGGAAGTCAGGAACCACCTTTTTAGCAGCTCCTTACCGTGGCTGCATGTGTACAAACACAGAAGACAATTTCACTGCCAATCCTTTCCCTGGGCTTCCATTGTACAAGTAGCCCTTAGAGCCTGGTCTGTAGAAAAGGCCAGAAACTAAGTTTTATACTAAAATGACACCTAGTGGCTTGTAATTTCAAATAAGTTTTCCTGCATTTATCAGTTGCACTACTATTGAATTTCCATGCTGTTAAATACAGAACACTCGAAGGGCAACACAACAGTGGGTGACAATTTCAGGAGCTTACTCTTCATTCAGTGCACATCTGCGGCTCGTGGGACAGCCGTATTTTCTGAGGCTCTGCGTCAGCTCTTTGTACAGCGTATCAGCCAGGAGATGAGGGATCCCCTCCCACGCCAGTATGAGAATCACTATGACAGCAGTCTGGCAGTGGTGTCCCGCACGCTGACGTACCAAGCATAGCAACTTCTCCTCATCACTACTTCTTCGTATCACCTGAAAGAATCATTTTGTTTATTCTAAGATAGAACTAGGAAACACATGAGGCCTGGACGAGAAAATAAAACTGTGGTCTGAAGTATCTATCAGCAAGTAGGGCCGGGAAAGCATCACACACTGGTCTCTTGGTGTAGCATGTGACTTTGTGTTGCCTTTCTACCTATAAAAGAAATAGCAGAAGGAGTATCTCAGATGTTCTACACAGACAATAATGACTGGTTTGAGGAAAAAACATCCACTAGAAGTATATAACAATCCTGCAATGACAGAGCCATTGAAAACCTAACAGTTACCTTGCAAATTATACTGAGAATGTATTGCCAAAACCCAGAAAGCAGATGCATAAGCTGCACCCCAAAAGCAAACACACACTCATGTTAAGATGATTACTACAGTTACATACCAGTACACTGAACTATCCCCATCTTGCAACATAACAATAGATGGAAGCAATGAAATAAACTGTGTGAAGGAATCAGAGATTTTTCATAACATTCAAGTAGTTAGCATTATTTTAGTGACCTGTATGACATAGAAAGAACTCTTTGTCAATTTCATCCATATATATGCAGCAGAACACTCACTCAGTACAAGCAGTTGGCCACTCTAGCTTTACCAACCACTACCCCCTATTGGTAGAAGGCCCATAAGTGTGTGCAAGGGAACCATTAGGTCACAGCCTGAACTGAAGATGGAGCACCTGGTGAAGGAGTATGGCTGGCCAGGAAGCATAGGTACAGACAATTTACATGTGCTTCCAAGGTGACAGGAATGGGTGAATCCAGGATCTCAGTCTCCCCTGGGCTTATTTAAGGGTTAGCCTCAAAAGGGAGAACATCTCCTAGATGAAGGTTGCTTCCTTGGGAGGAGTGTTCTACAACCAGAGATCGCCATCGCCAGCTGGATGAATCAACCTTTTCTTCTGTGTGAGACTATTGGTATTCCCAACAATTCCTCGTGAAGAGCTTGTCAGAAGCACTGCTTCATAGGATAAGCCGAGCTAATAATGATAGAATATAAAAGCAGAAAGGCAACAATTTCACCTATTCATTGGATGTCTCCAGCTGTCTGGGTTTTCAAGTAGATTCTCTATCAGACTGATGCCAAAGCCTCTTTGTTTCCAGACACGTGGCTAGTGGTCATTCATATGACCCCTAGCCTGATCAACTGTGAATATCTAAATTATTTAAGCTAATTAAAAGTGGGAACCAAAATACCCTTGCAGTTAATCTGCAAATGAAAGGATTTTCAACAGACCAAAAGTTTCAGATAATGCATTTTTGCTTTGCAGGAAGAAGCAAGATGCAAGTTAGTTTGTGTCAAGGGAGAAAGAATTGCCCTTTTCAAGTTGATTACACAGTCTCACAATCAGCCTTAAACTCAATGAGAAAAGAAAATGCATCTGAGTTACCATTCCTCTTGGTTGTGACTGAACTACTGGTACAGTATTTTCTGTAAAGAAAGAGAAATAATGCAGCTCATTTACATTTGAGTGAGACTTACAGAAAATCTATTATGGTTGATCCATAATACAGGTTATTCACATCAGTGTGAATTGTACATTCCTGAGGCAGCATAGCTCCTTCCAGTCAGAAACAGAGGAATTTAATTTTGTTACTCAGCATGAAGGGTGATGCTTTTAATCTCTTTCTTCTTTCTTAGTTTTCTAGACTTTGTAACTTCAATGAGGAAATGCAATATCTCTTAGTTTCTCAGTACAACATCAGGGTGCTCTTCGTGAGCTTTCACATAGTCCTCAGCTGAGTCCAGAAAAAGAGACAAATGGACAGGAACACAGTTTATAATCTGCTTCAAAGCAATGTCACACCACCTTGCAGTTAAACACAGATGGAATCTGCTTTGTTGTGCATGCTAGAGATAATGCAGTGCTCTTATTGGACGCACAAACATTCTGCAATCCACTGTCTTTCAGGCCACAGAGGTGACTAAAGGATTTTATGAGTTATCTGGATTTTATTTCTGTGGCTCTTAAGAGGTTCCTGCTGCAGCTGGAGCACTCCTGTCCTTAGGTAATTGGAGATAAGGCACTTTCCTCACCTATTAGTCTTAGAAGAACACAACCTGCACTGAGGCAATTGCAGTTCCTCAGGGCTTGCAGCCAGCAGCACAGCTGGAGCCGCATTGCTTTTCCCATATAAACTGATGATGTCCATGCATGTGTTACAGATGCTATCCTCAAGGCAATAATAAACAGAGCTTCTCTTGCAATAATACAAAATCCACAGCAATACCATACAACTTTAATACACAGAGAACCACATTTGAGGAGGACAAGCCCAGCCAACAGAAACACCATGTAATTCCTGACAACAGCTTTTCTGATGGAGAAAATTCCTACTGTGCTCCTTGACTCAGTGACTTATGAGTTACATTAACACTGATGGAATCAAAGTTATTTCCAACTTGTCATTTGTTTTCTAGTACTGGCTGATATCACAGAATCACAGAATGGCCAGGGTTGGAAGGGACCTCAAGGATCATGAATCTCCAACCCCCCTGCCACATGCTGGGCCACCAAACTCCCCATTTAATACCAGATCAGGCTGCCCAAGGCCCCATCTAACCTGGCCTTGAACACCTCCAGGGACGGGGCATCCACAACCTCTCTGGGCAGCCTGTTCCAGCACCTCACCACTCTCACAGTAATGAACAATCCAATACATTTCTGAACTTAAATGGTAAAATATTAAGCTAAATTGTCTGCTTTTTTTGTTTGTTTGTTTGTTTGTTTGTTTTCAAGTGAGCCTGAGATTATCTGAGTAACTGGTAAATTCCAAAATATGAGCACAAGCTGTGCATTGCTTATCTTGCTTGATAAGTTAACAGGCCGGATCTTTCACTGCTTCTCCAAGTAATGGACCTAGTAAGGTTTTACTGACTGATGATCCACTGAATTACTCTTCTTAACTTTAAATATCTCCAAGATATTTCTCTATTTCTGTCCCTCTTTCTGTAGCTTGAAATGACTGGGAATGGTACCAAGATCTCTTAACCCTTAAATATCCCTAGACCAGGCAGTGTTTTAACCAACTTTTCTCCCCTGGTACTTTATGGAAGACATCACACATCTTAAATTCATGCATCATCTTAAAGTCACCAACACAGCAACACACGAAGTCTCAGCCTATACACTTTTTTTTTTTTAGCATGTATTTGATAGAGGTCCTCTTCAGTAGGCAAATGGAATTAGTATGCTGTTACAGCCACGGAATGCAATGCTAACATAATTTATAAATCAATTCTTCATGCAGTAATTTAAAACATATACGTATGTGCCATTGGAAGTTGGTAAACATAATTCCCAGTGCACTCATGGCTTCTGTATGAAGCACTCAGAAGCTGAACATTGAATTAAAAATGCAGCAGAGCAATCTGAGTGCTTCTCAGACTGCAAACAATGCACAAATCAGCTGGCTAGTCTAAGCCCCAAAAGCTGCAGATACTGCCCATGACTTCTGCATGGTTCACACGTGTAGTTAAAAAAATGCCCAGGTAAATAATTAAATACTTTATTTTGGTTAACTTCGGTCTGTAATGCTCTTAAGGAGGAATGAGAAAATAACTGCTTGTTAAGCAACAGAATTTTAAATAGAATTTTAAATAGGCTAACTAAAAACTAATCCCCATGGTTTCTTGGTGTCTCACACAGAAAAATAACAGTCAGAAAACCCAGACTTGTATGAAGTTTGTGAAGAATTATGTAACACTTAGGTGATGGCATCATCTTTTCGTAGCTGCACAGGCCTGTATTATCCCTGAACTCTTTAGCAAGTGGCAACTGAGAGCAGTACTGGGTATCCATCAAAACATTTACAACAAATACTTTGCTTCAGCTGCAACACAGACATCTGACAAACTCCTCCCAACTCTTCACTGATACCTGCCAGCACTGCTCTGTACCCTCTTCAACTGGACATGAAGCTGCTTCTTGCCTGTCCCCTAACATCACAACATCTGGGACAAGAGAAAAAAACACATGGGACAAACACCTCCTGAATAGCTTTCTAACGTACATGTGTGCTTGGATGTACACAGCCATCATCATTGCACGTAGCTGATCTGAGCAGGATCATAAAATCAACTTTTGAGTTGGGAGGGACCCTTAAAGATCATCTGGCACAACTTCCTGCAACTAACAGGGACGCTTCCAGTTCCATGAGAAGCTCAGAGCCCCATCCAGCCTGACCTTGGGTGAATGCAGGGAGGAGGCATGCACCACCTCTATGGGCAGCCTGTGCCTCACCACTGTGACTGCAAAAAAACATTTATCCAATCAGAATCTACAGTCTTCCAATTTGAAACCACTTCCCTTGTCCTGCCACAACACACCCTGCTGAAGTCTCTGCCCCCTTCTTCTCACAGCCACTTTGTAGATACTGACGTGCCACTCTCTGCTCTCCGCAGAGCCTTCTCTTCTCCAGGCTGCACAGCCCCAGCTCTCAGCCTGTCCTTTAGGGTATTCCATCCCTTGGCTCATTTTTGCGGCCCTTCTCTGGATGCACTCTAACAGATCCGCATTTCTCTTGTACTGAGTACTCCACATCTGGACACAGCACTCCCAGTGAGGTCTCACCAGTGCAGTGTAGAAGACATCCATGCGTTTTCATCTCTTATAAAAATAAAAATAGTGCATTCCTCTTGTGCTGCAGTCTGGTACCCACCACCATTTGCTGTACCGTGCCTGTTCTGTGTTATTACAGCTTGCCGTGTGTTCTTATTTATGCAAACATCTATAAAGATGGCAATTGAAGTAATTTCCTTTATTAACTAGCCCATACATTCTGAAATGCCAGAACCAGCCAATATGAGCAAGCCCCTGAGGTGAAGCATGGGCTGCCAGCCAGGACAGAAATACAATCAGAGGCTACCACAGCTAAACCTCTGTTTCTACAAGCCACAGAGATAGGAATTAAGGATGTCTAACAAACTTTTACCCCAGGCAGTAACACAAAACTTGGTGTCCATCACTACGTACA